CTATTCAGGTGCCCGAGCCTGGTGCCTACGGCTTGGCGGTGGCACCATGGGGCACAAGGGGGGCATCCCTTCGTTCCGGCTTGGCGAAACGCTGGGGTGTGGCGCCCGCCAAAGGAAGTGTCCCGAGGGGACTGGAATCCGGGAGTGGTTCGATTAACCTATTTCTATCTATTTTTGATTATTTTTGACACACCTGCAGAGCACATCGAAAAAGAAGGCCGGCGAGTTTATATATATATATGTGCCATTGATGTAGCTTCATATGTTTCATACTACGTAGTCAGAATGTTCAAAAGGCTTCCAGTCCAGATTCAACCATTTTCTTGCATGAGATTTTTTGCTTCGGGCTACTCAAAGCATCATAATCGAAAGGACTTCTCCGGGTGGTTCGAGAGTCAACGCTTTGCGGGTGCAACATGATTGAAGACATCAGAGGTGGCTTGGGTGGCTTCACGCGACCTCGCGAGCTAAGGGCAGCTATTGAGAGGTGTTCAACCATGAACCATCCCATGGCAGGAGCAAATTGAGGAGCCTCCAGAGAAACGGATGAAGACGCAGGAGGAGGCAGATGGAGTGGGCAGAGTCATGTACCGCAACGGAGTTCTGGAATACGGAATGTATCGGAATATGATGGAATATGGAATTGGTGGGGGGCATTTTTGGGGCCAGCTACGGACTTGAAGGCTCGGCTCAGGTTGACAATGCAATGCACGATAATGCATGCACCTAAACACCCAACGAGCGAGGTTTGATGGTACTGTAGTCAGCAAGGTTGTATGCGTGCACTTCTGGTCAATCCGACAAATGTTCCGCTCCCTCAACTATGGCGTCTTTCATCCACCTTCCCGCCACACGGGTTGTTTCGCTGGCAGGATGCGCCCATGCCTGGAGCTGTTGTGGATGAGGCCAGCAACTCAGGCACTTTGTTGATGCTCCAGGGGTCCAAAGATACTTTATGATAATTCTTCAGGACCACGGCCATTCTCATTTAATAGATGCTAAGGATGTAACTCTCAAGATGGTTGATGTTTGTTGTTCATGAGATGTCGGAATATGTCGGACTTGTTCCCTTGCATGTCACTCGCGAGCCCCCATGCACTGTTGGCCACTGAGGTCGAAGAGCTTGCAGAAGTGGCGGAGGCAGGTGGGAAGAGTTGTTTGGGGTTGGCCATTCCTTAGGCGAATCCAAGACCCTACAAACCCTAGATCTCTGTAGACCCCAACAATCACACGTCAGAAATCCCGGCCGTCAGAAATCCCAAGTTTAAGAGACACCAAGCCGAGTTAAGAGACACCAAGTTGAAGAATTTCAGAAATTCAGAAATTGTTAATTTCCGAATTTACGTAAAGAAGTAACGTTTTTCAGTAATGCAGAAATTGTTAATTTCCGAATTTCCGCCAAACTATGTAAAAAAGTGAAGTTTTTCAGAAATTCGGAAATTGTTAATTTCCGAATTTCCGCCAAACTATACATAAAAGTAAAGTTTTTCAGAAATTCGGAAATTGTTAATTTCCGAATTTCCGCCAAACGATGTAAAGAAGTAAAATTTTTCAGAAATTCGGAAACTGTTAATTTCCGAATTTCCGCCAAACTATACATAAAAGTAAGGTTTTTCAGAAATTCGGAAATTGTTAATTTCCGAATTTCCGCCAATCGATGTAAAAAAGTAAAGTTTTTTCAGAAATTCGGAAATTGTAAATTTCCGAATTTCCACCAAACTATGTAAAGAAGTAAAGTTTATCAGAAATTCGGAAATTAACACGATACAGCAATTCAGAAATAGTTCATTTCGGAGTTTCCGATAAACGATGTAAGAAGTACAGGTTTTCATACCTTCCGAAATTGCTCATTTCCAATTTTTCGCCAAACCAGACATTGCGCAGGCAGCGTCCGGTTGCCAGCCAGAAGTGGAACGTTTGTACTTGCATTGTAAAATTTGCCATCTAGCCTCTTTTTCTCTCATCTCGGCGCACCCACTGAACGCATGGCACGCCCACCGAACACATGGCTCTTCAAGTGGAACACCATCAGACCAGCTGATTTGGGGAGTGGCTGGTCGTGCTGGATGATGGGCAGCTTCTCTTTCGCCAGGGCAAGATGCGTTTGTTGGCTCCACCTCCGGCAGCGCCCCCAACAGCGCCAGGACAAGATGACCAGTCGGGTGACCGCGATGGGTGTGTTTATTGGGTCCTTTCGAAGCATTGTTCGAATCAGGGTGCTTTAGGCAAAAGTGGCCTGACTAGCAAGAGCCTTACAGGCATTCCGGCTGTCAGGCAGAATCCAGCTCTTTGCCAGACTCCGTCACGGCAAAGACCCGCGTGCTCTGTGCGGCTGACAGCCAGCCACCTCGAAGAGCATTGCAACCCGAAGCCAAAAGGTATCCTGCATGGGCACGCGCTCCGGTTTTCACTTTCGAGGCCAAGCAACCAAACAGATCTTGAGCCGCTTGAATCTGTAAGATGTAAGGCTTCTGACTGAGTGTTGAACTTGTTGAGCGCGCTCAGGGCATGGAGCGCGCGCAGGGCAAGTCGATCTTCAGCAGCCTCAGCCTCAAGCGTAGTATCGTCTAGTTTTGTATGGCTGCTGAATCCGGCTGACAGCCAGCTCCTGCCGCCCAAATACCAAAAGAAAAGACCTTCGGGCAAAAGCGGCTGGGCAGCGTGCAACCAAAAAAGGTCACAACGTAGAAAAACATTGCGCGACGTTGCCCTGCGCCATCATCGCTTTGTGGTTGGGCGCCTGCCGCCGATCAAGCCACTCCTGCGCATCAATGGCAAGCAGTCTGCGCTCATGGCCTGTAGGAAACTGTCCAAGGTGATGGTAGACAGTGAAGCGCAGACCGACGCCAATGGCACTGAGAGTCAGCTGAGCGAGCTGGCCAGTCAGCTGCAGCGCGAGAAGGCAGCCAACGTGGAGCTCTTGCAGCTGCTGCTGAAGGATGAGCCGAGCCATATGTGGTCTGTGTGCTCTCCCGCTGCCAGCGAGATGAGGATGCCACCAGAGCACCAGCAAAGACAATGAATGCTGCGTCGAGTGAAAAAGAAGCGTCATTCGTGCTTCACGCTGTTGAGCCCACTGAGCCACGTCGCGCGCTCCTCTACCGGAGCGCGCTCTTGTGACAGGGTGTGCATTTCTAAGGAAACCATTGCGCAGTGGAGCGCGCTCTTGCGCGCAATGGTTTTCCATGAGATCGCTGACGGAGTCTATACGTTCCCGCGCGCTTGTGCGCAATGTTTTCTATGCGTCTATGAGATTATACTGACCGGGGCGCGTATCTCTATGAAACCATTGCGCACGTAAGAGCGCGCTCCGCTGCCGGAGCGCGCTCTTGCGCGCAATGATTTCCTTAGAAATGCAGACCCCCGTCATGAATCTCATGGACCTGGAACATTGCGCACAAGAGCATGCTCCGGCAGCGGAGCGCGCTCTTGCAATGGTTTCCTTAGAAGTGGACGCCCCTGTCACAAATCTCATAGAACACCATAGCACACCAGCGCGCTCCCGGAGCGCGCCCTTGTGCGCAATGGTTTTCTGAGAAACGTACACCCCACTCAGCGATCTCATAGAGAACCATTGTTGCGCGCAAGAGAACGCACACCCCGTCATGAATCGCATAGAACACCATTGCAGACACCTGTCATGAATCTCACCATTGCACACAAGAGCGCGCTCCGCTGCCGGAGCGCGCTTTTGTGCGCTATGGTGTTCTATGATGAGATTCATGACAGGGGTGTCCACTTCTAAAGAATGCACACAAGAGCGCCGCCTTGCGCGCAATGCTTTTGTTAGTAACACGCGCCCCGGTCAGCAAACGATAGAAAACCATTGCGCACAAGAGCGCGCTCCGCTGCCGGAGCGCGCTCTTGCGTGCAATGGTTTTCTTCAATACGCAAGCCCCAGTCAGCAAGCTCATACAAAAAAAACGCTCAAGAGTCAGCGACGTGACTCACTGATTCACATTACATGTTTGCTTTCCATGATTTTTTGGCTCTAGTGCGGCTGCCAGCCGCGAGCAGCTCGTTGAACAAGGACCGATCATTCCGGGGGCTGACGGAATGTCAGGTGAAGACGACCTGCTTGCCATGGAAGCCGTTGTCCGAGCTGTTGAGCGCGCGCAAGCAGTGCCAAGCCACAGGCGCTCAGCTGCGTTCTTGCAGTTGACCAGGATGGCCAAAGCAGCAAAGAAGCAAGGCCAGATGCGAGAAAAGGCTTCCGAAAGGATTTCGCGCTTGATCTTGCGGTGCAATGCCGAGTTCGCAAAGACTGACAGTGATGTCATAGATTTAGCAGCCAAGGGGTACAAGTCTAACGGCAAGGGAAAGCACACAAAGTTTGGTTGCCTGGGGCTTTGCAGCGGGCCTGTTGGGGGCACAGGCAGAACAAACTGCAGGTTTCCAAACGTATGTGAAAGAAGTGTCCGGCTGCCAGTTAGAAGCGCAAGAGAAGCGTTGTTGCCCAGCCAACTGTGTCTAGTTGCAGAGAATGGGCTCGTCATTTGAAGGCTAGCGCCACACACATCGGCCGTGTCCAGCGCGCTGTCAGCGAGAGACCAGTGCCCCCATTCAGGCCAGATGGCTGCGCAGCCCTTTACATGGCTTGCGGCACAGCCTCACAGCCAGGGACGCGCGTGGAGCAACCCCCCTGTTGAGAGCTGCAGGCAGCAACCAGGCACCTGTTGTGCGGTTGTTGCTTCAATTGAGAGCTGACTCACATGAGGTGCATGCGACAACAAGAAGGAACGCCTTCGATATGGCCAACGCTGCTGTCCGCGACATCCTGCGAGATTATGGCGCAAGGGCAACCGGCTCAACAGGACCTTCCAGCCGCGCTGCTTTCCCAAACCGCAGCCGTGACTCCGTACAGGACAGGCCTGGAGGCGCGAGCGACAGTCGACGGCAGCGGGCTGCAGCTTGGCCCAAGCGTTGAAGCCAGCCAGCGCAGCTGTTGCGGCTGCTTTGCTCGGAGCTTTTTTCGGCTGTCAGCCGTTTTGAATGCACTGACTTGTGCTTGGAGTGAAAAAGAGCTGCTGTTGCGTTCCAGTGTGGCAGTGTGGGGACAGGGCCGGGGGCTTGTCCGAATTTCCGCCACTCATAGGTTAAGAAGCACCGACTTTCCGCCAAACCTATGATTTTGTAGGTCGAATTTCCGCCAAATCTATGATTTTATAGGTTAACAAGCACCCCGCGCCGCTTAACTGAGTTTTAGCAGCACCCCGCGCCGCTTAACTGAGTTTTAGCAGCACCCCGACTTTCCGCCTTTCCGCCGAACCGACTTTCCGCCTTTCCGCCGAACCGACTTTCCGCCGACTTTCCGCTTTCCGACTTTCCGCCGAACCTGAAACGATATCATCCAATTAAACCGTTTTCTGCTGCGGCAGGCTCCGATCTGAAGAAAAGTAGGAAATCTAGCTTGGTTGCGCGGCTGGCAGCCAGTGATATGGGTTCGCCAGCAGACGCGGTATGCCTCCCAGAGCTGCTTGGTTTACTCAGCCCGCCATAGGCGTTGTTCGGTAGCATAGCGCGCCATGCCGCCCAAGAAAAGGCCAGCAGCGTCCTGCACTCAAAGCAAACGCGCGAGGAAAAGGGAATAGGAGGTTTGTAAAGGCAACTTGGTCAACCTTGCATTAGTTTATGAAAGGGAGGAAGCCTTGCTGCGCAGAGGCATCTGGGACTGTTCATTCCAGAAGTCGCTGCGGAGCAGGGCCGAAGACTTGAGAAAATACGCTGGGCTGATGGAGGAGGTGGCAAAGCTGGAGCAAGCCAGCCGCAATGTCCAGGTTCCTGAAGAGCATGCAGCAAACACAAGATCGCTCCTGGCCAATCACTGTGAGCCAGGCGATCACTGCATTTTTGGAGCATCGTCGGCGCGATGAGGCAACTCCCGAGATGTATCGGCAGCAGGCTGCGACTCTCCAAGCTGCTGTGTCTTCTCTCCTCGACGGCCTTGCTGAGGGGCTGGCCGGCTGTCAGCCCGAGGCCTTCGCAGAAAAAGTCAAGACGTTGCGGGAGCTCAAACACGTGACCATGCAGGTGTGCGCCTTGTCTGACACTCCTGTCTTTGCGCGGTCTTGGGTGGAGCTTGCGCGCGGTCCGCTCCTGAAGTGTGCGAAGCTTTGCGCAAGGAACCATTCCCCGAAGAGCACCTGTCTGAAGAATTGCTCAGGAACGCAGAGGCCTTGACCGAGGCAGAGGACTCCCGTGTGAAGTTGGATGCGGCGCTTCCACCTACGGCTGACAGCCAGCGACAAATCGTTTCTTTCTTGTCGGCTGTAACCGCAGCCCTCGGGGGATGGAAACAGGCATTCAACGCACGGAAGGAGAAAGCCGAATTAGAGTTCGAGCAAGCAGCGGACAGTTTGAGGAGCAAGGTCAACGCGACTTTCGAAGCCATGGCTTTCAAAGGCCACCCCAGGGAACGAAGTGAAGATGGCCTTGAAAAAGCTTGCCAAGGCTGAAGCAGCTTTGTCGTCGGTGAGTAGCAAGAGCTTGAAGCTGCGCGCGACCACAGACTTGAAAGAGCAAGCGAAGGTGCACATAGTTGCGTGGGGCGCGCTAAGGCTAACGCTGTTTTTGGATCCAGCCATTAAGCAAGTGGGCAGCAAGGGAGATTCCTTGCGCCGCGCTTTGTCTGATATTTGGGCACAGCGTGGCGACAACGAAGGCTTGCTTTCTGCCCTTGGGGAGGATGTGGCGAAAGACATCGTAGAAACCATGAAGCCAAAGGGAGGGGAGGACAGCTCGCAGCCGAAGAAGAGGGCCAAGCGCGCAAATCCGGGAAAGCAGTGATGTCGAACAATTGAGAGCTCTGCGCGGCTGCCAGCCAGACCAATTTTGATCGGCAGACATTTTGCAGTTGCGGCTGTCAGCCAGAAAGTTTGCCTCGTGTTTGGCGGTTCACCCAGGCCCATGCCCATGCGCCCATGACAGGGAGCCGACGGAAGGAAAATGCAGCTTTACAGCCATGTAAACTGCAACCCTGGGCTATGCTATAGGCTATAGGCTAGCAGTGTGTCCCAGCGTATTCCACCAAAGCGTTCAGACAGATTCTCATTCAACTAAGATAGAGACCAGTCGTAGTTGGAGATTTGAGCGGCCAGTCCGCTGAACGCCAGTATCAGCAACCGGACTGTTAACTCTGTCAGTGAGCCATGCGAAGTGTGTCTTTCTAAGAGGAGATGACCTTAAAGGGGCGGTGGGGAAGCCTACCAAGCAGATCGAACTTCCGCCAAGCTATGCAAAAAAGAAAACTGTAGAGAAGTAAAAGTTTCCAGAAATTCAGAAATCAGACATTTTCAGGAAGTTTTCAAAAGTTTTCACCAAATAAATCCGACATTGTTCACAAAGCGTCCGGCTGCCAGCCAGAAGTGGAAAGTTTACACTTGCGTTGCAAAATTCGCCATGTAGCCCCGTTTTGGCTCTCATCTCGGCGCACCAAAGCAAAAACATAGCCCAGGCTACCCACATGCTGCTTTTCAAATGGAAACACCATCAGAACAGCAGATTCGGGGAGTGGCTGGTCGTGCTGGATGATGGGCGGCTACTCTTTCGGCGCATCACGCGCGGCAACAATGTTGCTTGGGACGGCCAGGGCCGCTTTGAGCGGCTGGACGGACCTGGCCGTTTTTTTCGCCTCCTTGGCTTTCGTTGTTGCGCTGGCGCCAGGGTTTGGAACCTCCTCTTCATGCCTGACCCTGTGCGATCTGTCTTTGGTGAAAGTGTCTGGACTGACCAAGAGCGCCATCGGTCTGCTTGGCTCTTTGGCACAGCATCTATTCCAGAGCTGACCTTTGACAACTTGGAGCAGATTGCTATGGCGCCAGGCCAGAAAGCACGCGCTTTGAGGGCGCGTTTGTTGGCTCCACCTCCGGCAGCGCCCCCAACAGCGCCAGGACAAGATGATGATGATGATGATGATGACGATGGGTATGTTTGGGTGTAGGGGAGGGTTTACGCTATTGGAATCGGCCATTGCCTCGAAGCCCCTGCAATGCATCTTCTAGGGCCAGTTTACAAGCTGATGCTTTCGAAGCGCGTTGTTTGATTGGAATCAGGGCGCTTTGGGCAAAAGTGGCCTGAGTAGCAAGAGCGTTACGGGCTTTCCGGCTGTCAGCCAGGTTCCAGCTGTTAGCCAGATTCCGTCGCGGCAAAGGCCAAGGCGCTCTGTGCGGCTGACAGCCAGCCAGGGCGAAGAGAACTGCGACCCGAAGGGAAAAGGTATCCTGCGTGGGCACCCGGGCTCTTTGCTGTCTCCAGCCCGTGCGCGCTTCACCATAGTGCGCTTTTGGGGCTAAGCGCCCAAACATAGTGAGCCGCTTGAATCTGTGAGGGTTCTGACTGAATGTTGAACTTGTTGAACGCGCTCCGGGCATGCAGCGCGCGCGGGGCAAGTCAATCTTCAGCAGCCTCAGCCTCAAGCATAGTATCATCTAGATTTTTATGGCGGCTTCTTCTAACCGGCTGACAGCCAGCTCAATTTCCGCCAATGATGTTAAAACAAGTAAAGTTCTATAGTTCTATTTTCATAAATTTCCGAATTTCCGCCAAACGATGTAAAAAAGTAAAGTTTTCAGAAATTCAGAAATAAATGATGTAAAAAGGTAAAGTTTTTCAGACATTCGGAAATTGTTAATTTCCGACTTTCCGCCAAACTATACATAAAATTGAAGTTTTTCAGTAATTCAGAAATTGTTAATTTCCGAATTTCCGCCAAACTATGTTAAAAAGAGTTTTTTTCAGAAATTCAGAAATTGTTAATTTCCGAATTTCCGCCAAATGATGCAAAAAAGTAAAGTTTTTCAGAAATTCGGAAATTGTTAATTTCCGACTTTCCGCCAAACTATACATAAAAGTATAGTTTTTCAGTAATTCAGAAATTGTTAATTTCCGAATTTCCGCCAAATGATGTGAAAAAGTAAAATTTGTCAGAAATTCAGAAATTGTTAATTTCCGAATTTCCGCCAAAAGTAAGTTTTTTCAGAAACCCGAATTACCGACTTTCCGAATTTCCGCCAAAACGAATTTCCGACAAGCCTTGAAACCCTCTTACAGACTGTAGGTCTTGGATTCACCTAAGCCATTCCCATGGTCCTGCAGCGGTGTCAAACTCTACACTGGAGAGGGTGCAGTTTGGGCTCCATCATGTAAGAACCATGTGGAGACCCTGTGTAGGATCACATTCTTGTGCTCAAACTGTGTGCCCGACAGCTCCACTGGTTTGCCAAGCTGCTTTTATCAACAGGCGACGACAGGAGAAGGTATTGTACCTTCAATTGTTTTCAGCCATCCAGACACTTAGTTCAGGCAGCGGAGAACGCATGATGACGTCAAGCTGAAGCTTGTCAGCACTTGGGTGATGATCTTGCGGGCAGTGAGAATCGCAGCCTCTCAACACAAACATGTGGTAAAAGAGAAATGATCCAACATGTGTAATGCCAGGAGCTACTAGTAGCTTGGCCAAACCCACGTTGAGATCTGAAGTCTCTTGTGCTACTGCAAGTGTAGAGGAAGCCTCAGAGGCTTGGGATGCTCAACTGCCCAGTTTGCTGCGGCGAATGCACGTTGTCAAAGACCTCAGCTCATGCCACGGCTCAAAAGTCCTTGCCGGCGGATGGGATGAAGGTCCAAGGAGTTTATGGGGATTGGCTCGCTGAATCGGCTGGGGCAAGTGGCTTCTCGGAATCAGTTTGGATGTGTTTCGTTGCGGGTTGGGAGCCTTGGTCGCAGGCTGCCCTGCTGAAGCTGGGCTGGCCAGGCGACACTGTTCATTTGGGCATTTGGAGCGGGCCGGAATGTGCGCTTAAATCTGTGAAAGCCACACATGCTTACATACTGTCCCCAGGCCCAGTTCTTGGATCCTCTTGGATCTGGCTGTGAAAACATATGAAGAGAATTATATATGTGTTTGTTGAAGCATCCCAATGATTTTGAAACACCCAGAGAAATGACTGCAGGAAGACACTTCTTGACCGCTTGACGGTGGCGCTGGCTAGAGCCTTAGCAAGTGGGGCTGAGAGCCAGCTGCTGATTCAGACCTGCAAATGGTGTAGCTAAATCAGCGATTGCATTGCCTTGGCAAAACCCATAGCTCGTGACTTGGTGAAATGTTCATTGATTCAAGGTCTGGGAGGAGCTTACTCTGCAAGAGATCAGGCGTGAGTGCCAGAGTCGAGATGCAAGATCCTCAGCGAAACTGGAGGCTGGAATGATTGGAGTGCAAACAGAGTGTTGCCCGCATTCGAATTGGGCATTCCTAGGAGGGCAGACCTCATGGCAATGCCTGAGGTTTTGATCAGTTGCATCACATGACACCTTGCGTGCGCAAAGCATCCAGGGAAGCTACGTAGTGAAGACTGAACATCAGAGAAGTGGCTTGCGGCTTGCCCATGCTTCTCTCCAAAGTGAGTAAGTCTCCAACATCTCCCAAACCCTTGTGCCGAGGTGTGCTTCACCGGCTTGCGAAGCCGCAATGAAGCCGAACAGCGGCAAGAGTTGGGGGCACCAAGACTCGGCTTTGCTGGGTATAGATTGGGTGTTTGCCTCGCTGTGAACACATGGCTGAATTGGGTTTCAGTGCAGAATTTGCAGGTTTGGTTGACCACTGTCAGAGCAAGAGACGAAGAGTTGTAACGTGTGCATAGGGGGGGGGCACCCACTGACCTTTCAATTGAGCACCCTGACTGAGGCTCTCAGAACGGCTCTTTGCCAGCGCTTGGAAGCTTAACCCTACAGCTGGGGATGTCTCGGTCATTCCTGCACCCTGCTTGTCTTCTATGCCCCTAGAGGCCCTAGAGACAAGGAAAAAGAAGAAACGGAAGGTCTCAGTTCTTGGATCAAGATTGGAAAAACGGACTAGAACAAGTGAAACAAGGGGAAAACATAGAAGAACTGTATGGAACATATTAGAACAATCATGTTGGTTTGGGCCGGGAGGTCCCTGCGCTGAGACATGTTCTATTCCAAGGTGTGCTACACCGCCTGGGAGACACAGGGAATTCCCGCCCGGCTTCCTGTGAGGGGCCGCTGAACAGCGCAACATGTAGCATTGTGTGGGCAAAATTAAAAAAACTTGATTTTTGTTGTGCAACAAGCTTCATCTACATTAATAATTAACATATTTTTAACTGGGAGGCTTTGGCAACTCTAGTGGCATCGCTGTCAGTGTGAGGCTGCGGACGAAATGTTGCTCTACCAGTTAGAGGGGTGGCACACTCCCCCTCGCATACATCTGACTGAACGTGGTGAGGTGAAGCGCCTGGGCGGTGGACAGGCAGCCGCAAAGGTCGTGGAGAGGCCCGGGTATCATCGACAGGGCTGCAAAGGTTGTGGCGGCTGTAGACGTGCAAGAGGGAGGTGACGGGAAAATCCCACCAGTGGATTTGGGTTGATGTTTGTTCCTCCTTATGCTGTGGCCTTTTGGGAGGTTCCATGAAGACGAGCCGATGTGATGGAGAATCAGAAGTTGTTGCACCTCGAGGAGCGTCCAATCGGATCTGCTCAGGATCTCCCAGCTGACTGAGCTGAGCCTCGACGATCTGCGCTTGGAGTTCAAAGCCTTGATGATCCCCAGTGAGGCGTGGCACGTGCGCAGAGCGGCACAGCGTGGCGCCGAAAAAGCGGGTCAAAGTCTTCGATGGGTGTCGAGGGTCCATGGACTCGATTTTGATGGATGTGCATGTTGTTAAAAACGCGAAATCATCCTGGCATGTCACTAGATTAGGCCCTTGAGATTTCTTGAGTAAGTAGAATGGATTAACTATGTGAATCATATAGATAGCCGTGCCGTGATAGAAAATGAAAAGGGCGGGCTAGAGCCCTTTTTTCGAGGCCCCATTTTATTACTAGAAGAGGTGGGATAAAGAGTGAGGGGGGTTGGGGTAGGCTGATTTATTTTGAGGAAGAAGTGTGAAAATGAGGTTGGCCCGGGCCCCCAAACCAGTGACATATAATAAAAAGGGGTTGGCTCCCTGATTTTATTTTTAGCATGTTGGATTCATGGAATCATTTAGCCCAATCACAACAATGAAAAACATCCAAGAATAAGCATCATTGATTCTATTTTTGCATTTTCTTTCCAACAAACATTGCATCAGGAATCTGCAAAAGGCACAGGAACCCAGCACCATTAGCAAATAAAATCATTTAAACCCTTCCAGTCAAACACAGCCAGATTTCACATAGCTTGGGTGCCCATGATTTTATTACACTTTATTACATAGCTTTGTTGGGTATTCCAGGGGAACCAAGAAATGGGGATGTCTCAAAATAAGGGTGCCTATATGAGGTGCGAAGTGGTGATGTACAGTAGCATCTGCACAACAAGAAACTTTGACATCTTTTGCGTGAGAAAAATATCGTAGTCTTTGATGCTGTTGATTCTTGAGTCTTGGTCTTCTGGTCACTTTGGATGATCTTGTAATCCTTGGCTACCCTCAAATCATTTTCTAAATCATGGCCTTGCCTGATCACAATTTCTACGTTGGCTCCCACTGATCTATTTTGAGAGCCCATTTTTTTCAACGTTAGTACCCTCTGATTTTATTATGAACTCAGCGTTGGCTACTCTGATTCTATTTTATTTTGAGGGGGTCCTACCCCTCCATGCAACATAGAACGGGATTCATATAGATATATTATATGACTACATAGATGCCCCCATTGCCATCCCAAAACTTGACCAAACACTTGCTCTCCCACTGGCATCGAGGCTGGAGAACCTTCAACCAAGAGGGATTTGCTCAAAGTCCTAGAGAAGGTTGCCATGTGGCAGGAGCCCGGTTTCGACTTCGGATGCCACAGAGGTGCTTAGGAGGGAGGGAGGCGTCTGCCAGAGAGTTGTGCCGAGGAGATGCCACTGAAAGAGCTTCAGAAGGATTGCCGTGAGATGGAGGCGGACAAGAACCACCGGAATCCACCGGATTGGATGAAGAGTTTCAACACCTTGTCCCAACACCTTGACTCCAACTGAAACATGGTCTTTGGGGGCCAATTTCAGCCATTCATGTAGCATCCAGGCACGGCCCAAGGGGCACTTGGGACTTCCAACTGTGTTTCTAGTAGCTTCTTCCTAGTAGCGATGCACCTTGTTAGGTCCGTGTCGAAACACCACCGTGTCGCTCCATCGCCAGGTCTCCACCTCCAGCCTCTCCGGCGTCCGACTCAGCGATGCAGAGCAGCGAAAGGCACCGCCCTGGGGCGGGAGAAAGACATGGTGTCAGTTTGGAGTGGTTTTGGGGGAAAAGGTGTGCCTCCCTTTTGCTGGCTTTTGGGGGTTCGATGCTGTGTTCTAGCATTTCGACTGGTAGCCTCCTTTGTGCGACATAAAATTAACGTAATTGATGGCACACACAGGCCACATAGTCAGTGCATGGTTCTGGGTACTTCCGGGTCAACTACTCATGTGACCGGCTGCTAGATTGTGTAGATTTGTGAAAATTTGAAATGTTGGGATACCTACGTATTATATAATTTTGTTTGCGGAGCTCGCGGAGCAGAAGCACACATGCCCTAAACAGGTTGCCTTTAAAGTGATTGCAATCTCTCGCTGTCACGACTGAGCTTACGATGCAGGAGCTGATCCAAAGATGTTGTCTTGGGCATGGGGCTCAGATGATGATAAGAAGGTGGGTCCAAGAAAACACCCCCGCCACCCGTATAGCTGGGCCTCAAGCTGTTCTAATTTGTCGAGTCTTGGTGCATCTATGTTGAGGAATCACAAGATCTGAGGATCCACTTATTAATAAGTGATGGATAAGATATGGCAATGATATGGCATCATACCGTTTAGTAATGGTGAATGTATATATACATAACTTGCTGGGGTCATTGCAAAGCATTTCGGCTCACTCTGTGGCTGCACATTCTACCGTTTGGTGCAATTGCTCATCCAGAGTCTGCTGAGGATTTTCTTGCTGACCTGGGCATCGCAGGGCGTGCCAGTGAAGCGTGCGGAGCCTAAAGTTCGCCATTTCGTATGGGTGAAACCGGAGCCGCTCACGCATGCACAACTGCACGGGCCTGGTTTAGTGTACTGCATGTGAGGGCTTTCCATCCTAGCGTTGTAACATCATTGTGCTTTTGCATAGAACTTGACTTCACAGCACAAGCTGGAATTTATAGAGGAATCTGTAAGTTCTGAAGACTTTCGAACTAATTTACTTAAATGATCTTAAATCAAAGGAGGCAGTGCACTGGCCAGTTCCACACGACCTGTGAGGTTTGGAGAGCTTTCAAGCAGCTTTGGCTGTGGTTCACCGCGCCGGGGCGCTCGAAGGGCGATCAACTAACGCGTGCAGCACTTTTGGGGGAGTCGTCGTGCAGCTGGTTTTTGCAAGTGGGCGGTGGATGACCATGTTTTGGGCTGTTTGTAAGGCAGACGTGGTGAGAATATGGATGAATGAACCACTTGAGCAGAAGATTTGCACCGTTCGCTTCCAAGACTCGTCCAAGAATTTGAGGTGAAGGTGCTGGACGCCATGTCCGAAGTCGCCCTGAGGAGCGCGGCTCCGCGGAGCAGAGAGGGTGCCGTGAGGGTGTCGGTGCGGTCGTTCCAGCGGAGGGTTTTCTGGCTCAGCAGGCAGCAAGAGAGCTAAGCCCGCACAGAGACTGAGGGAGGGAGGGAGGTGCATGGTGGGATGGTGAGACATGAATTGAGGTGCATGGGGCCCTGGACTTGGATTGCCCTGACCCATGTTTGCAAACCATGGGTCATGATGGACTGATTGGACGCATTATTGGACGCATGTCTTCCATGGTCATGTGATGTTATGTGATGTAATGTGGAGACTTCACCTGAGGAGCGAGTATGCAGCCCTAGGATTGCCGAAGCAGGCCATCAATGACGTGTGCATGCTTGGATGTTGTGCTGAAGAAAACTTCGAAGAGTGCACTTGGTGTCGGTGGCACACTTCTGATGGTACTGAAATCAGTTGAAAGATATTGCAGTGCCTTGAGACTTGAGACGTCGAACACTTGCCTTGCTGCGTCGAGGCTGGCAAAGATCAGTCCAAACAGGCCGGCACTGACCTGTTTCTCCATTCCATTAGATGTGTGATGTGTAATTCCAGTGCTGTTTGGTTTGCATTGATCCTTGAAGCAATCACTTGAGCTGTGTTGAAGCAAACAGAGCTTCCGCCAGGAGCTCCTACAACGCCTCAAGGAGGCGGGCACTGACAGAGAGTCCTTTCTTAGGTGAAGCAATTCGACATGATTCGAAAGTGACTTGCCACGCGGCTGGGTTGCGCAACTCTTCACCTGCAAGAGTCATTCAACATGGAAGGCTGCCAGTGTCAGTCTTCCGCCTCAATCACTTGCCCCGAGTTAGATACCTATTTGGGGTCCCAGCTGCAGCCTTTCGGTTCAGTGCCTCCTGAGTTTGTGCGCCCGGCCCCGCCCAACTGTTGTGAATCCTGGCTGCACAGCGAGACGAATGCCTTCAACGAAGATGCCCACCGCGTTTTTCGTACCGCGTGACGTTGATGATCAACGCACCCTTGAGGTCACCAGCATTCACCAGCAACCTTCTGCAAAAGAAGTGGAAAATAGTGGAAACCAGTTTGTTCGCTTTTTATGGCTCAAAAGGAGTGGCAACTATAGGGAGGGGGCAAACACTTTTCATGATTCACCCTCCGAAGAGCAAGAAAGACACTATTCCGATCCACTGAATCATGGGAAGTCCTATCTCTTCCTTCATCAACTCGCTTGCTTGGGGAGTTTGGGACCTTTGAACATCGCTTCCCATGGCGCGCCCACTTCGACTCTTACGATGGCTCCTGCTGGGCGCCTTGGCGTGGCAGATGAGCACCTTCGTGGCACCTAGAACTGCCCGGGGCACTCAGGACGTGCCTTGGAGATGCAAAGTGTTGCGCAAAGTATTCCGGCCAAAGGATGCCAAAGGTTTACCGTAAATGTAGGTGCTGAACATACCTAATATTATGTACATACCTACACATGTCCACCTTTGTTGGTTCATTGGCTGGTTCTCTTCATCTCCAGTCGCTTGAAGCTCGCGTTTAGGTGAGCAACCCAGTGGCACTTCACGCAGAACGGCCAAAGCCGATGAACCAAGAAGGCCGACAGACCTTGGCCGAGCTGCTGGCGCCTGCTGATCAGCTCTTCGAGGACGGAGTCTAAAGCAGCGGGGCAGAGGGGGTAAGTCTTGGGATACTGCAGATCGGCGCGATGAAGAAGGGCATGTGTCACAGGGAGCAGTCGGAAATCCATGCCGAATCCATCGGGACGAATCTGTCGGGTGTTCTTGGAAGGAGACGGAAGATGGGATGATCTTGCGTGAGAAGTATGCGGGCGGTCGGCAGCCCAGCTCCGTGTTTTGGGCTGTGGTGCAGCCAGCAGAGCCTTGGATAAAGCGAAGGGACTGGCGGGATCACAGGTGAGGAATGGTCGTTAGATCCTGTAGATTCTGGGAAATACTTCTCGGTTAGCCAGTTAATTAATGCTTAAAGGCTTCAGCAGTCTCATGGCTCAAGCATTTTGGCAAGAATAGAGACTGTGGCTGAACATGGCCCCATGTCCAGTTGAAAGATAGAGGGAGGTTAAGGCAAACCATGTCAAACCCATTCCAACTGAGACTGGAAGTTTGGCTAAGCTTTCTAGCAAAAGAACCCTAAGTATGTAATAATCGTCATCTAGTAACGCTTTGTGGTTAGTAAGAGGAGGTCTCCAACATGGAAGCCATCAAAGTCATTCGCACAAGCGTCCTCTCATTGATTTGGTGGGATATGTCTAACTACTGATTACTCCATTCTATAATACTACTATTACATGATGCCAAAAAGGCACAGGATTTGATGTATGTAGTGGATTGATGGTGCATCCCTTTGAGCGTCCCTTGGGCCCCGTGTCTAGTTCTCACGCCCTGGCGCGGCGCACGAGCTCAGGTGTCCTTGGGTTTCTTGGTGGTGGGATTGTCCGCCTTTTTCGGGGAGCCCATCGTGGATTGGACCCCCATCACTGCGCAGTACCTGGGCTTCTTGCGGCCCAGCGAGGGGATCAACTTCCTCCCACAGGGCGCCTTCATGTGTTCCTGGGTGGAACTGCAGAGAGAGAGAGAGAGAGAGCGAGAGAGGGAGGGAAGGAGAGAGGGAGGGAGGGAGGGAGAGAGAGGGAGGGGGGAGAGAGAGGGGCTAGTGGAATGCGTTCAGAAGTGGGATGACAAGCCCAACATGCGGCGTTTACTTGGGTATAGATGGTAGGTGGATGCAGATTGGTGGGTTGGGGAGCATTCTTGAATCAAAAGGGTTGGCTAGGACAGAGGCATTCTCGTTTCCAAGATATTTCAACGATTCAAAGTTGCAGCTAGGTTTCTATGGCTTCTTCGGCTTTTTTGTCTTCGGTCCCATCCAGTGGCTTGGCCTATTAGTGAGACTGAGAAGAATGATTTGTAGCTGTCGCAGTTTGCAGGACGGTCACTTGAACATGTGAACTTGGATGTGATGTTGGGATGATTCCAAGGCATCTCCTAGATGCAAGTAGGAAGCTAGCAAGGTCCAGCGATGATTTGGATCTTGTTCAACTTTAGCCACGTTGCAGCCCAAAGATTTGATAGAATGGAACCGGCTCGCCCACACACCAGGTGGTACATCAACATCTTCAACATTGGTCAGGGCGTTTGTGAGTTCAACAAGAACGATGGCACCTGGGCAGTCCAGCACTGCAACGAGAGCAGAATTGAAAGGAGTAGGCTCAGAGTAGATGGTGAAGCTGTGGTTGTTCGATGTTGTTCAAGGCATGATGTACATTGTGCGGAACAACGAGATGATTCGCGAGGTGGGCGTATGGCATTGGTGCTTCTGGGGGTCACAAGATGGTCATAAGGCAAGAATTCCAATTCGCTTAAGTCCCATGTTCTTCTTCCTGCCAGGTGCCCTTGGAAGACTTCCAAGCTGTGAAGTTCGAGTGGACCAACTTGGCCGTCTTGGGTGCGCGGGATGTGTACCTCATTTGCCAGGAGACGTATGGGAAGATATGGGAAGCACTTTCCATTCAAGTGAATCAAGGTCAAAGGGCCAGGCCAATCGGCTGGAGATGCCACACTCAAGGGAACAGATCCTTCCCGCGTTGCATGTCCTTACGTTCCGTTGGCATGTAAAGCCGTGTAGTTGGGTACGTCAGCTTGCGTGTCCCTTACTCCGATGCTCACCCCGCTCAGCCTGGAAGGATGGAAAGGAGATCCATTTCATGGACGATCCCGAAGTGTACCCGAGAGCTTTGAGCTTTGAGAGCACTCAGGGTCGAATCATCACATACCTTCTTGAGTTTGAATGGGATTTGCCCGTCCGGGCGCTTGCCACGCAACAAGTGGCAAAGCCTTATTGAATCATTATTGAACCATAATCAATAGCATTAAATTGCATATGTATGATTGATTCTCACGCTTGCCTTTGCGCCCTGTCAGTTTCGGAAGCAAATCCGGCATGAGAGTGGGGATGCGGTAGCCTGGCAGGTACAGCAAGTTTGTGCTGGAGAAGCGTGCCGCCAAGTTGTCGGAGTTCTTGAATGTGGAGCTGATCGTTGACGATGCCTGAGAGGAAAGCTGGATGTCCTTGTGGAAAGGCACGACAGCCAAGGATGCGGCTATGGGAAATGTAGTGAAATGAAGGGGTAGGAAATTCTGGAATTGTAGTTACAAGGAAGCAGCGCACGAAGTCCTTGGCGGTTTACCTGTTGTTCAGATGGTCACAACTCTTGGTGACCAGGTATTCAGGCGGTTTTGTGCCCAAGAGCCTGGCTTGTGCGGAAGTGCGGGCGAACCATTTTGTGCACGGCCAAGAGCGCATGTGGCTGATGGCCAGACCAAAGAAGGACGACAAAAAGCGCTTGAACTTCCCACCGACATGGACACATACCAAGCACAACGGGTCTAATTACCCAGACTGTTTGTTGATGTTTTCTCTCAACTGTACCCCGCTCCTGCAGACGACTTGGGTGAACTGGGAACAGGAGATTGGATTTTTGTCGATCGTCCGCCATACAGAAGTTGCTTTCAGAGGCTTCATGTTCCAGGCCACGCTACTAGGAGCAAAGAGGCTACGAACGTAGCTCCTGGCCTTACTACTAGGAACAAGAACGCTACTAGGGGCTCCTGGCATCGCTACGAACGGAGCATGTTCCTAGCGATGCCGAGTGTAAGTTGAAGCGGCCGAACCCCGGAGCTTAGTGAAGCGGCCAAGGAGCCATGGGAATCGTGAGCGGGCCAGTTCCTCCACGAGTGTCTCTGTCCCGCTTGAGGAGGTATTTATGAAGTCTAGTAGCGTCCTTGTTCCTAGTAGCGATGCCAGGAGCCCCTAGTAGCGTTCTTGTTCCTAGTAGTAGGGCCAGGAGCCCCTAGTAGCGTCCTTGCTCCTATATCTCAATGATTTTAATGCAGCTTCCTCAAGATCAAGCATGGCTTCGTCACAAGTTCAAAATATGACGTCATCCATGTGACGTCATCCATGCACGAGAGATTCTTAGAGTGTCAAGTCTGCCCTTCTCTCCAACGCACTCGCCAGTGCCTCATCATCGCAGCCGACTGGTGCAACATTTTGGTGCGACGCTGACCACGGGAAGACGAGGAACGCATTTTGCGAGTGGTTGAGAATAGGGTAGAATGGACATCAAGCTGCAAATTCATGTGCCTTGACGTTTGCTGGTCAAAGAATTGGATCACAAAAGCTGATGGAACAGCTGCATGTCCATGTGGACACCGAGGCTGGAGTCTCTTTGGTCATCTCGTTCGCAATCATTGCAAGTGCCCTGGTTTGATTGTTGGCCGGTTTGGGAGCCCCCTCCACAATTCCATCAAGATGGGAGGAATCAGCTTTGCCGTCCGCCAGTCTTTGCTAGTGCCACTTGTCAGGTCTTCTCATTTGACTTCGACACTGCACAGACTTATTGTTTACGAAACTTGCGTGGCCATTGGGCGTGTGATTGGTAATGCACCCTAGTGTGTCTCAGGCACCTACACATTTAAATGGATCTTGCCAACTGACAAGAACTGGCACTTTGCGATGCAGGCTAGGCGCAGTCCAGATTGAACCTGGCATATGGAGACCACCTCACTGCCTGATCCTATTAGTCCACCTCAATGCTACGCATTGCTACGCCCTCTCGTTGCCTTAGGCAGCTAAGAAATATTAAGAAACCGTAAATAGATTTCACGACAAATGTTTCGGTATTGAACATGGTTCGAGCATTGCTGAATTGCTGAAGGGTAGATGTTCACAAGGAGATCATGTTTTTTTCATCGCTTGTGTATATGTCATGTCTCTCAACAGCCCAATGCTCGTCTTTCGCCAGGTCACGATGACCGCCGAGGGCGTGTTGTGGGCCTTGGCCGCTGGAATGCTCACCCGGGTCCTTGGGTGGCAGTCGAGAAGTGCGACAGATGTTGCGACAGACTTTGTCAGTGGAAACCCAGAAAGAAAGGGAGTGACTACAATTGGGTGTCACAGAAGAATAGGACGGTGGATAGGTTAAAGCAAAGGGCTATGGACATGCTACAGTCTTGGTGTGGCTTTCCAGTAGGTTCATTAGAGCCGTGAAGGTGACCAGTGGTTTGTGGTGCTGAGCTGCCAAGGGTTTTTGGCACCACTCAGGTCCAAATCATTATGAACAACGCCGCTTTGGCCGTCGGACAAACGAATCTGGGCATGAAGAGGACTAAACTATATTAACTATATAAGGCCTCACTAAAGGCGAAAGATATCAACTTAGGGCTGGGGCAAGTGTCAAAGTCGAAATCAGGAGGGTTCCGATGAAATTGTGCTGAAGAGAGCGGCTGGATCTCCAAGCACCAGCCCAGAAGATTGATGGTTTTCCTTGTTTGGCGTAGCTCTTCGAGGGAAGTCGGCCCATTGTGGGCAAATACCTCTTCCAAGGATTATTTGCTTTGGAGGCATTTTCTTTGCAATCTCTGGCCTTTATGAGCCTTGATCGCAACGCATCACAGCTCTATGCTTCAGCCTTGCACAAGTTGACCAAGATGTTCAATGAGATGATATTCTAGATTCAAAATCAGTAGACGAACAGCACCAGCAACAGCAGCGTGTGTTTCTTTCGGCTGCTGAGGATGGCGTTCCGGGGAAGGTCATTAGCTTGCCCTACGTCTTGGCACCCTCGCCGAGCGTCCAGGACTGCGCACAAGGCGAGGAGTGGATTCTTGGATGAGAAGAACGGAGAAGATCCTCGGTGGGCTGCGGAAAGGGTAAAGGACTTTTGCATGAGCTGCAGGGTGAAAATGTAGCACCAGAGCAGTCTTGTTCATTTGCTGTGGGTAGGGCGATGCTATGCGGTGCTCCTTCTTTGTCTACGTACTGGTTAAAGATTTGCAACACAGTGTCACAATGTGTGCAACAAACTAAGCAAGGTAGCATTTGCAGAAGTATTGCTGCTCTTGGGTAGGAACGCACCTGCCCCCTGCTGTTTTGGACTTGCAATCTCTACCCTTGATATGAACTGCAAATTGTTGTTCTCACTGTCAGCCGTGCCACGGGCATCAATCACATTGCTGTGTTTGCCAAGGACCGCTCCTGTCTCGGCAAGCTTCGCAGATGCTTGTCCCTACTACGGCATCACATGCATCTTGGCTTGAAACAGTTCTGTGTCAAACCAAGATCACGAGTCCCACCGTTTCCAAAAATTGGAAAAAAAACTATATAGCAATTGCCTCCATCCAAAGATGGCTTGGTGTTCCAATGGTTTTGCCGCCATGGCTTCTCAGGCTTTATGGTGGCAACTGCTATGGGCCTCAAGGGCGTTTGGCCGCTTCCCAAGTGCCTCGTACTGCAACAAGCGCGGCCTTTGCCAGGAAAGCTCAATGGTTTTGTCCCTTTCTGGTGTCCTTTCATTACCCATTTGCGTTGGACTTTCCAGCCTTACTCGCCACACTTTAGAACCTCGGGGTTCCCCATTGGCCGATTGACTTCAACCTGGAAAAGCAATCCGAGCCCCACTCCGGCAGAGCAGGAACCGCATCGTGAGCCCCTTCTGGGCAGTTGCAACTTGACTGGTGATTCAGTGCAGGAAACGAATGGGCAAGCAGGTCCAGTCGGAAAGGAAGATTGCGTTGCTTGTGTACGTACGGCTGAACTGGGATGGACTGATGGGTGAGGGTTGTCCAAGAGATGGTGCCACCTTTGGGATACACTTTGCGATACAACGTAAGATATGTGGAGGTGTTGTTTTGTGGTGTGTTGTTGAGATTGTGCTGTGTGATTGACCCACATCAAAGGCCACTTTAATGCCGCTTAAATGCTGTGTAGTGCAGACCCAGTCATATTCCCAACATGTGGCACCAGCGGAAAATGCGAGAGGAGGGAGGGAGCGGGAGACCGGGAGGGAGGGAGGGAGGGAGAGAGAGAGCACGTTTGTTGTTTTACGGCACTGTTGGGGCTGTGAGGCCCCGCCTTTACAGATATTTGGTACGTGTAGTATAGCCACTGGACTGGACGACAGACAGAATATATATATATATATATATCTGTGTGTGTGTTTTGGGTATTTTTTCGGCAGCTCTCTTTTTGCCGAACGAGGCGTGCTTCTTCATTGGTGCCGGGCTTGTGGCATTTCTGAGTGATCTGAGAAGAGCCATGATGAGCCAAGACTTGTCCCTGCAATTTGTCGTTTTGTGAATCTTCGAATCTTACATCCATGCCAGTGTGGGACAGTAGAGACGTCCCTCAAGTAATAACATGGTAGGAATTTCGGGCACCCAGACATGTGAAACCTAGCCGTACAACTTGGAAGAATGCTGCGAACATATCAAAGTCTGTCTACATTGGGGGTCAAAATGCAGCTGTCAGGGTAGTTAGTCAGCCGCTCTTAATATTGATGGTCACTGATCCGATGTGATCCGCTTTCGAGTTCAGCCTGCCTTTCTCCAGGTGCCTGGACCATTGGCGTCATCAGCCTTTGGGGGCCAACTCTGCTGGATGGCGCCGTGGTGTGGGCGGCCCCAGGGGGACATCGGGGCCCATGAGGCACAATCGAAAGTCGGAACAGGTGAAGAACAGGTGGGGGTTGGGCATTGCGGCATCCTCATGTTTGGCACACACTCAAAACATGTGGCACTTTTTTTGCACATGAGGTACGAGGAGATGGAGAATCCCAAAGTGGAGATGTATTCCCAGAAGACGTGCTTTGGCAGAAGCCGGAGGGAATGCGCTTGTTTTTAGCTTGAGGCCCTGATGCGGTCTTTGGTTGTTGACAAGACTTCACAGTTCCACAGCCTGATGGCCTTATGCTTCGAAGATGCGGGTGAATCAGTTCGACGCATCGATGAGATGGGAGTTTGCTGCATTCATTTCATTCACAACCAGTGTATGTGACCAAGCTCCTCGCTTGCTGGGGGCCTTGGACATTTGCAGTTGCAGATTTGGCAGAGGTTTGCTTGGGCTTGGACGCACGTTTTCCAAGTCATCGGGGCTGCATTCTTGACGGCAGGCACGGAGGATTCGGCTACTTTGGAAGGGAAAATGCTTTTGGACCCTCTTGGACAGTGGCGAAAGCCGACATGACATTCTCAAAGTTGCCACACAGTTCATGCTTGGTTATCCAAATATTCTAAATATTGGGGGACATTCTTGCTTGTTTTGGGTAGCTTTGCATTGTTCAGCCTTTGCGGTGCCAGGTGGCGTCATTTTTGCAATCATGGACGGCGTCTTGGGATGTGGTGGTCCCAGTGACAATGGCATCGAGGACATCCGCACGACCCACTCGCGCGCTAAAGGTTGGTGAGTAAGTAGAGCTCAAGAGGAAAGAGAACAAGTTGCGAAGAGAAATGCAGTCGAGGCCGGTGACAAGTTGTTTGACTGACGCCCATGGCATTGTTGCGAGCATGCCGTAGGGCCGGACCGGAGGCACTGTTAGGTAAGTTAGGAAGGATTAACCGAGCTTTTTCAAGCTTCACAGAGGACAGCGACTACGATGAGGACAGTTGTGCAAGCGCATGAGTTTCACAAGCTGCGTGAGGGCCCTGAGTGGTACAACAGCCCGCTGATCGGGGGCTGCAACGCGCTGCGTTAGCTCCGAATCAATGGGCCTTTGGCATCAAATCTGTGACATCTATAAGACAAAAAGATAAAGAGATCTAAAGACTGCAGATGTGCTGGTGTGTTGGGCTGGGTCGCTGAACCTATGAGGGTACAAATCGACCCAGCTTTGTTCAGATTTCGATGCCGGAATCCAATGACCACGCCATGGGCAGTGGCTCGTAGCAAGGGCAGTGCGATTGAGCCCGGGGATGAGTCCGATCCCAGCAGAGCAGAGGTTTTGCCTTTCCACATTCAATCCTTATTGAGGCGACTAGGGAGGAACAGGCCTTACCACTGGGCTTCAGGGCGAAGAAGAAAAGTTCAGATGTTTGGGTCCATCAAGAAACCATTGCTTCTCTCGCGTGTCCATGGTCCATAGGTGTTCTATGGTGTTCTTTTGCGTGCCCGTTTTCGTCCAAAGCCAGAGGAATCCATAGGAAGGAACAGGAACCAAAGACACTTGGGCAGCATAGGTGGACAACAACAAGTTTTATGTAATGTGGGCCTTTTATTAATAAACCCCCCCCCTGATCAAGTGTGGGCCCCAAATAATGTGATTTCCAGAAAAACCCTAGAAAATCTTGATTTGAATTGGAAATGAAAGGAAAGGAAAGGAGATTGAAGGAAAGGAAAAGAAATGAAAGGAAAGGAAAAGACATTGAAAGGACAATGAAAGGAAAGGAAAGGAAATTGAAAGGACAATGAAAGGAAATTGAAAGGACAATGAAAGGAAAGGAAAAGACATGAAAGGAACATGAAAGGAAAGGAAAGGAAACCTAAAGGACTTGTAAAGGAAACCACCAAAAGAACCAGCCAAAAAGTGTTTAGTACTATTTGATGTCTTGAGTAATTGAAGGTTCGGGCTGCTTGTGGGGGGTGGTCTTTGTGGGTTGATTTCAGGTTGGAAATTGCAATGCCCAAACAAGCATTTTTTGAAGGAACATGCAGCAGCCAAATCAGAAATCCAGAAAGGATGCCCTTCAATAAAGCTAAAACTGTTCAACCAAAAGGACACCTAAAGGACTTGTAAAGGAAACCACCAAAAGAACCAGCCAAAAAGTGTTTAGTATTATTTGAGGTCTTGAGTAATTGAAGGTTTGGGCTGCTTGTGGGGGGGGGTCTTTGTGGGTTGATTTCAGGTTGCAAATTGCAATGCCCAAATAAGCAATTTTAAAAGAAACATGCAGCAGCCAAATCAAAATTCCAGAGTAAAGGAAACCACAACGTAATCAGGTTTTGGAATCAGCTGAAAGCTCAGAATCAGCTTGGATGAATCAAGGTCTGGAAGCAACTGAAAATCAAGGTCCAGAAAACATTTAGTACTATTTGAGGGCCATTTAATATTGTTTTTGAAAAGATTTAGTACTATTCACGGGCCATTTACAAATAGGAAGTCAACATTATCGTTTCTGCACGTTTGCAAAAATTTTGGTGTTGACCCGTTCCAACTGAATGCTAGCTTTGGGACTCGGATGGGTTGTCAAGTTGTCCCCGAACAATTTTGGCCTGCCCTTGAGCAATATCGCGCTCATCGTTTTCCAGGACGATAGATCCGTTCAATGAGCTGCATAACTTTTTTTCTTTGACAACTGCTTGCCATTATTGAACACAAAGACATACCCATGATTGATCATCACGGCATCAGTTGCCAAACCTAGCGACCAAATGCTGGGCTTTTATAATAATGCTTCGTGCTGGAGTGCGACGGCCCTACCAAACAAAGTTGTTTGTCACGTGCAAATGCCTGACAATGGAAGTGGCACACTTATTGCCTTTTGCAATGCCGCATCCCAAGGATGAATTGTGTTGTTCTTTGTTTTTCAGGAATCGTTCTTCTTGAAAGGTGAGTGTAGGGTGGCTATATAGTTGGCCAAAAAGAACTGTGGCTCCTTTGAAGGCATCTCTGCACGCTGGTTATCGTTGCCACTTTTTCTGGACCTAGTACTAGCTGCACTGAATATGTGTGCATGTCGTACTCTTGCACAGGCATGCGAAGATCAATCTAAGATCTTAGGTTGTTGGAACATGTGGAACTGCGTCCAAAACCAAGAAGTAATTTTGCCAGAGGCACCTCGTGACTTCATCAAAGCCTTAATCGAGAGGTAGCCCAGTGGCCTTTTTCTTTGCCAGGTGGCCCGCTGGCATCAACTGCCGCTGAGGGAAGTACAACGGGAATGCATGGAGGCCAAGGTTGGGCGCTCTCGGCACCCTTTTGAGGTAGAGCCACGTCGTTTTCATGCTTCTGTTTGTTTTCCAAGGCATTGGCTTACCAGCTTCTACTTACTCTAAGTGATGCTACTGTAAGTGATGTTAAGTGTCAGCTGCACAAGCTATTGATTATAACTGGTTGGTTAACTGCTTTTAGCGACCCTAGCAATCAAAGGGCACTTAGTCAAACCGATGTGTAAGCAAAAGGCCCCAAGATCATCCAAGAATTATCGGAGTTCTTTGCTTCTTGCCCGACCGTTGTACGAGGTCGAGACAGCGACATCTCCACGGGAGGGGTCAGTGCGAAGCTGGGTGGCAACCTTGGATATAGCCTCTTAAGAACTCCTGGCTAGCTTTGGCAAGCCCCTACAACAAAATACAACCACCATTTGGGAATTGAGCCGAGAGTCCTGATGAGGGGCGCGTAAATGTTGGTGATGGCCCAGTGATGGCTGTTGATTGCTACACTTGTTTGAGGCGGCTGGTCTTTTTCTCACGCTGACGTTGAACCGTGCCACCATTGCATCATTGCCCATATAGAGTTCTGTAGAGCAGGGGGATGATCTCACGGGCCCTTGGAGGTTCGCGGTCTCGAGGTTCGTGGAAACCGCGGGGTCAGAAGTAAGTGCCCAAAGATGTGCAGCGGACTGGGACTGTTCTGCCTTTTTGCAAGGGCTTCACCAGTTCATGGGTCAATTGGTTCAATGACCGAGCTGCCACTTGGGCTAAAACCCTTGCCATTCGGGACGGGGAATGCAGGATGTGGACACACGCACCCATCACGCCACAGTGACCACATTGATTTCAATTGAAGAGCTTTCTCGGGCTAGCTTGCAGTTCATGACGAGCCCATGTTGGAGAGTTGCCCCGCCAAATGACATGTTGAAACATGCCAATGATGGATCAAAAAGAGGTGAGAAGGCAAGGAGCCCAACGTTGTCACATGTAGGACTAGGGGCTCCTGCCATAGCTACTAGTAGCAAGCACGCTACTAGTGGCTCCAATGCCTCAAGGAGTTTATCATTTGAGTTTAGGGGGTCGAGAGTTCACTGGCGCTGATTGTGCGTCGTTTGCATTGTTGCTCAAAAATGAAATTGCCGCCCAAGCGCAAACATGCGCAAACAGCAGACAATGACAGCACAAAGGCCAAGGAAAGACTTGCAGTGACTTGTATGGCATTGTACACAGAGGCCATCATTCTAAGGGGCATGATCTGAGGATCCAAAGATGCTCGGATTTGCAATCTCTGAAAGATGTGATTTCTTGCAGAAGAGCCTCCAGACCTCAAAGGGCCCTTGTCATGCCAGCAAGACCTCGAGAGCCTCCGGTTTGTTCATCCCACATCAAGACTCAAAAGCTTTTCTGGCAAGACCTGCTTGGCACCCATGCGGATCCTTTATTGGCACTCTTGGTGGCTTGCCGATGACGGAACCAGAGGAAGCAGCCCCTTGGTGAAATGGATTTCACGTGCCTGGATTCGCAGGACTTGGACAGTTTTACTTGGAGATCCAACTTTCACAGTGTTTGATGTTGGAATCCAAGAGGTTTTTGATGACACTGATAGAACGTGATAGAACTACAACGGGTTGCCTTGCATGCTAAAAAGGATTTGGCAAACTGACATCCAGCACGTCAGCAACTATAGATAGATATTTGTGTAATCCTTTGTTCCTGGCCCACTCCACTCATCTCCACTCGGGACTCTGGAGGGCCTTGAAAGCCCCCCCCTGCAGCCTACCATGTCACGGCCCTCAGGCGGCCGCCCTCGAGAAGGGCTTCGGCAGCTTCCGAGCGCGGTCTCGGAGCCCCAGGAGACGATCCTCGATCCTTCCGAACGGGTCCGGTGAATCAGAAAGGATCGAAGAATCCGAACAAGAAGATCGACAATGTGTCCTATTGTGTAGGGAAGGACACTGGCAGGAACTTGTAGTCCGTGCTCTCCATACAGACCTTAGGAACTACAGTGGAAAGACTTGGAAATGTGAGTTTGTAGTGAGTAGACATGACTCTAGTTGCATAGGTTTAGGTCAGATCCTATTTGTTGCACGGGGAGTTTGCCTCCATCAAGATTCAAGATATCACTCGGATTGTTGTGCTGACTTTGTTGATTGCTCCCCAGTTCACGGACGACTGATCGAAAAGCCGGGCGCTGAATCAAGCCGTAGCTAGTCATGGGAGTCCGGCCAGATGACCTGCGTTTACTCATTTGGCTGTGCTTCAAGAAAGGATGCCTCCATTTGCCATCCAAAAGCCCCTTGCAAAGGAAGAATCGACCAATACCTGCGGGTCTTGTTAATTTTCGCCACGTCAACTTGCTGGTGGTGCGGTTCTCCAGAAGGCCGAGTTTGCTCCTATCCGCGCCGGCAGGAGGCCGAAAGCAGTATGGCCCGAAGTGCCTCCGGACTTCTTCAAGGAACGATCGTCCATTCAGCAAACATCTATAGTATGTACTCGTACCATGGAAGCTTTTATAGTACATCAACCTCGCCACATGTTTTCGCGGAAAGGACGAAACCAGAAAATCGCCCGATGCATCCCGAAGCATGTCTGCGAAACTCAGCGAAAGGACGTTCCAGCTCTTAGAGCCTGACACTGATGGAAAGAAAGGGCGGCATGAATGCAGAATCTTTATGCAAAGGCAGGAGGTACCAAGACCTGTTGTGAGGACATTGTCGGCCTGATCGGCGTGAAAGATGGCCATGGGCTTTTGCTAGAAGAGGCCTGCGCCGTGGAAGACATGCAGATGCTGATGATGTGAGCATTGATTTTCTCACAGATGGCTTCAGGGTTGAGGAAATGGAAGGAAGGTCGCGGAACAAATTGAGACTGGACTGATTTGGACTGCATCCAAAGTGATCTTCGGGTGTTGTAACAAGTCGGAAGCAGGGCCGGTACATTGGTCCTGTAACCTTCGGTAGTCGGAAGCAGCGAAGGCCTTTCCCATTGACATCTACCCCATGCCGCGGGAGTGACTTGCATGCATTCAGTGAAGGGTCGCTCTTGGAACCCCAAGAGTCTTTGAGCATTTGTGAAAACTCATTCGCCTTTTCTCGATGTGAAAACCACCACTGGGGGTTACAGGCATGTCCTTGGAGCACGAAAGTCTCGACGATTCCGCCGTGAAGTTCAGGCATGTCCCGTGAGGAATGTGCGCCAGCCAACCACCCTGAAGTGGTTTTTGGTACAAGTTCAGGGTTTATTCTACTTCTTAATTCTAATTCTTGTTTCTAATTGCTTTTTGTTCCTAGTAGCGAGGCCAGGAGCCCCTAGTAGCGTCCTTGCTCCTAGTAGCGATTCCCTTTGCTCCTAGTAGCGTCCTTTGTTCCTCGGTTTGAATGAAGATTTGGTAGCTGAAGGTTTCCCGGAGCCACTGTGAGGTATGATTTTGTTCGACATAGGCTTAGTACTTCTCAGGCATCCAATTTGCAGCCATGCGGAAGTATGCTTCAAACCACTGAAATGATGTGGCACAACGACTAGATGACTGGTCTTGTTTTGCTGTGAGATGCTTTGCACACCTTCATAGTTCGCCATCCCATGAGCAAGTGCAGATGTACCCTTCTTACAGCATCGATTGAAGCGAGTCGCCTTAAGTTTCTTTGTGTGGGCACCTCTAAAACCCTACAACTTTGTGGTGGTTGTTTCACCTCTTTGTGAGACTACCACGCTTGTCTCGCCAGGCTTGGGGCCCCCCCGCGCCCCCCAAGCGGCGCTACTTCAGGGTCGCTGCCAGTGGAAAGGTGGAGCAGGACTGGTCGTACTAGCGATGGCCTCCAACCTACTAGCGATGGCCTCCTACAACATGAAGTGTGCCCTTAGTTAAGGAAAGTGTTGCTAGTGAGCACCCATGCTATCAGGTGTCAGGATAGGACACGCATCAATTATTTGGCATCAACAATTTATTCAGTTGTCGCGGTTAGCAAGTACAATCAAACGTTCAAGCCAACAACAAAAAATTGCACGTGCAAATTTTTCCCCAAACAGTGGGGTTCTTACGGTAGGTGTAAAGCACCGGTGTCTAATCGAGGTGTCGCACGGGCGCGGGCGGCTAGTTCGCTGCTATTTACAGTACATTCATGCCTCTCGAAATCCTCGAAGTGCATTTCGACTGCGCAGGGTCGCAAGATCTGCGTGGCCGCGGCGGGTGCTTCTCGCGACTGCGCTCTTGTTGTGGTCACTTTTCGTGGCAGGCGCAAGGGGATCCTCGTGTTTTGGTGGTCCAAGACCGACTTCTCGTGACAGGCGCAAGGGATCTCAGCGGCTTTACTTCGAAATGCAGAGTTCGTGGCAGGTGTAGCCCTTTGGACATGGTGGTGATCTTCGACGCGCTCTAATTTCGTGACAGGTGTAGTGAGTCGTGACTTTACTACATGACATGCGTAAGCAAACCTGTGCGCGCGTAAGCAAAGCGTAAGACGCGGCGTAAGCGTGTCCTTGTTTGGTGCCGGGATATAAGACGTTTAAACCACAGCTCATGTGGGTCGTTTTCCGAAGTCGGGGGAAGTCTCGCGAAAGCTGCGTATTGAGATCTGGAAGCGCTCTTGCGGCAAAACGCCTTGGCAGGGCTGCACGGTCTGAATCTTGAAGTGCCAATTTCGTGGCAGGCACAGCACTTTGTGAACCTCGAAGTAGATTTCGTGGCAGGGTTTGAACTCGAAGTGCAGATTTCGTGGACAGTACTTTGTGCACCTCGACGCTCTCGATCTCAAGACCTTCATAGATCACATTCTGAGTGCTATCTGGCGCGTGCTCTCAGATGTGCTCTCAGGTGCTCACTCTCACTCTCACCCTCGCCCTACCCTCACTCTCACTCACTCTCACTCTCATGTTCACTCTCACTCTCACTCTCCCACCCACCCACCCACCCACGCACGCACCCACCCACCCACCCACCCACGCACTCACTCACTCACTCACTCACTCACCCACCACCATCACCACCATCACCTCTCTGGACTACATAGATCTCTAGGCTTTCTGCTGCACTGTTTGGGGTCTCTTGCCGGGATAAATTTTTAGGCTTTGCTTTCCTAGGCCGGAGCTGGTGCCAGTGCCATAGTTGTCAAAGCCGGCCTTTTTGTCAAAAGGTTTTCCTCTTTAGGCTTCAGCCACCCTCGTGCTGAGTACTGAAACAATCCCGCCCGTGAGACGGGAGATGACGCCGGCACCTTTGCAGGAGAGTTCCTGGCAGGTGGGATTGGTAGCAATTGTGGAGAGTTTGGGCATGTTTACACCAACAAACTGCCATTGAAGAGTGAAAGAGGGAAGCGACGCTGTGCCCGGCACAGAACGCATGAAGTGTTCTTCATTCTTGCATGTGATTTGCATATTTAATCATATTATATCATATTTATATATATTTATATTGTTGTGTACTGTCATTGCGGCATGGGTTGGCTCTTTCCAGGTTGCAGCCACTGCCGCAGCCATGGAAGTCGGACAAGCACAGGACTTGGGTGCATCATGTTGTCCGACGGAGGCAACGCAGTTGGCCGCTGTTGGTTCTGAAGGGTCTCGATATTTCATTGATCTCTATTTATATATATAATACAAGTCTAGCAATCTCAAGTCTAAGATTCTTCTTGACTAATAATCATTGTGCCTGATGGTCCCAAAATAGATTACCATACAACCATGATCAACCATCAAGTTTCTGCAACCATGTCACGTGATCACGTGTGATATGTATATCACCCGCAAATATATATATATAATATATGTCTATACATCCAGTTTGATTTGCTACTTCACAGGGTTGCTTGATTCATTTCAATGTTGCGCACCAGGAGATCACACCCAAAGACACCATGGGCCCGTGCCCCACTCAGGTGTTTGTGCCCATCTCTCCCAAATTGAAAATGGTTTATCATTGTGTTCATCAAGACAACACGCTGACAGTGACCATTAGGACATTTTGATAATGACATCACATGAAAAAGACATCCTAAGATTCCTAAGGCGACACAGATGTCAATCTCAATTCTTGTAGGGATGTCCTTTTGGGCGTTCATGCACTTTGGAGTGGGCTGGTGGCTGTTTTTTGCCAAGGCCGGATTTTTTGCCACTGCTGACCGTTGCAGCACAGCTCCTCAACCGCAATCGTAACGTGGATGAGCCAAGAAAGCTACACGTTTGCATGTTTGGCTGAATTTGCTGCATTCGCCTAAGTCTTCGATTGCTTGGGCTCAAGCAGCTTCACACGCAAAAAAACTTTCTTTTGGGTTAGGTGCATTTGTTGCGTCATCGCGGGTCTTTCCCATGCCACCTAAGACAAAGTGGTTCGACGGATTCAAGAAGCAGTTACCCCGCGTGGACGGGAAAGTCTTCGTGATCACCGGCACGACCTCAGGCACAGGTTTTGTGGCTGCTCGGACCGTGGCCGAGTTGGGAGGTGAGGTGTTGCTCTTGAACCGCAAGTCCAGTCGTGTGGAGGAATCCCTGCAGCGTTTGAAAGCGGCGGTACCTGATGGAAAGTTCGTGACCATCGAATGTGATTTGCAGAACTTCGCTTCAGTTCGACAGGCCATCGAGGAGATCAAGGGGAAGTATCAGAAGATCTACTGCCTTTGCAACAATGCTGGGATCATGGCCCAGCCAGATGAAGCTACAGTGGACGGTTATGACACGCAGATGCAGACCAACCATTTGTCACATTTCCTCCTGACAGCCGAGCTGTTTCCTTTGATCGAGGCTGAGGCCAAAGCCACTGGCGATGCACGCATCGTGAATCATTCTTCCATGGGTCGTGACCATACTCAGAACAAAGGGTTGGAAGAGAAGTACTTCGGGAAAAATGGTGGCAATCTTGGTGGAAACTCGGTGAAGATCATGGCTGGTGCAAACTTTTGGCGCTACTTCCAGTCCAAATTGGCCAACTCTGTTTTCACCTATGCTCTTCATGAGAAGTTGGAGGCCAAGAAGATCCCCATCCGCTCCTGTTGTGCACACCCAGGTGGCTCCGACACCAACCTCTCCGCAGGAGTGGAGTTTGACAGCTGTTGCGCTGGCTGTTGCCTTTCTTGCTTGCTACCCTACATGATTCAGTCCGCCGAGGACGGCACAATGGGAATCCTGATGGGCATGATGCATCCGGATGCCAAGAGTGGTGTCCTTTATGGACCAAAGAACAACGGAACAAAGGGCCCGGCGGTGCCCAACCCCCCAAAACCCTATGAGACTGATCCAAAGGCGATCGAAATGATGTGGCGGACCAGTGAGGAAGCAACAGGTGTGAAGTTTGCGATCTGAAGCTGCAAAGCAGGCTTGAATGAAACCCTCCTTTCTGTGAACATGGATACCGACACGGGGCGGAATGTCAAATCATCCATGGCTTTGTTTATATTATATAGCAACATTACAATTGTACTTGTTTTGCGTATTTGACGCGATCGTTTCAATGTTTGCAGGAGGAAGGGTGGCTTTGAGGGTGGCTTTGGTGATTTGTGGTGCTTGACACGAAATTTTTCAGTTTCTTTCAGTTTCAACCTTTCGCTGGAATACGTCGAATGCAAAGTGTAAAATCTGCGAAAGGAGTTGAGACTCGGAGAAGAGTTGCCATGCATTGCTGTCAAATCGTCCAAAGAGGAACTGGTACATCACACCCCCATTAGTAGTGTTGTCTATTCTGATATAATCTTTATATATACATATATATTCGTATCATTTAGTGGTTTTTTCGACGTGGCCTAGCCTGCTGTGTGTTCTCTCGCCACTGCTAACCGTTGCAGCACAGCTCCTCAAGCGCAATCGAGTTTGAGGGTGCGTGTCCCAAAGGTCTTGTCAAAATGAGGACTGATATGTCAAAGAAACCCTACCAAGGGAATCGTATTTTCCCGCTCGCCCGGCACCTTATAGAGCTCTTAATTGCGAGTCCGAAACGAGGGGCCTGGAAGGAAGGGCCGCTTGACCGTGTCCGCAAGTCGTGCCACCGAGGGAATTGTTTGTTTTTGCATGAAAGCTCTAGGTTGAAAGCTCCAATTGGCCAGGTTGAATAATAAGTGTTGCATGAGTTTCCTGGAATTGAATTTCCACCATGGTTTTTGGCCCAGGTTGAAAGCTCCAAGTTGGGCTGCCAGCACCCGCTCCGCACGCCTCACAGCACTGCGCGCGCGTTGCCAGCAGGCGCCAGGCCGGGAGAGAGAAGACCGATGGCCTGGATGGCTTGCTGTGCATTGGCTTTGACATAGGTAAGAGCGAATGAAGCATGAGAATGAGAACAAGGAGAGTCACAAACTTGAGACTGGAAGCAAAGTGATCACCGATTCACCTCACTCAAAATGATCCCAGCCGCCTCCCTTTGCGCTGAGCGCCGCCCCCTATCTAGCCCATTCGCACGTGATGTTCATGAACGGCGGGCCCGCAGGGTCGTAAGGAACACACAAACTTCCAACAAGGCTTTCACTTGGATTTCGACAAGTCTTGATGACCAGCCCAAAGCCTTGGAAGTCTGGAGTACTGGACCATTCTGGATCCTAATGAGGGTGTCCAACAGAATCTAGAGGTAGAGAACCCGCCAAGAGACTTGCTAGATAGACACATCTTCACACATCTTCACACCATGACTGATAGATTCTTGTCAAAATGGGCTCAGTGTCGAGAACCCGTATTCAAGCACAAAATCACTGAGGTGCCAGATTGAATCACTGACATGAACCCCCAGCATGAACCCCCAGCAGTATTGACACTATCTATCGGCCGCCGGTGGCCAAAATGGATCCCAATGGGCACATCATTCCCACCACCAAAAAACCGGGCCTTCACCGTTTGAAAGACGCTGCTCCCTTCGCATGACGAACTGCTCGTGGCTCGTGAGGTGATGCCGGAAATTGGCTGGACTTTGCAGAGTTCCAATGGTCGCAGCCGCATGGCTTGAGGGCACCGATTTAAACTTTGGGTGAGGAGGAATGAAGCAGATTGAAAGAATCTCCGTGGAGGCTTCCATAGCAACATGATGCAACATGGCTACATTCAAGTGGAGTCTATGCGGGTTGCCTTGTGCTGTTGAAAAGGCAAGGCACTGGGAGAAGTAGCCCGCATGTTTTGCACCTGTCATGTCAGGAATTGCTGCCAATCGCTTCTTGTTCGTGGATGTTGAAGCTTGTCATCGTTTCACTCATGGTTGCCAACAGTGGTGGAGTGGTTTGGCTCAAGGTAATGATGTAAGGTGATGTAAGAGCACATGGGCACACCATGGGACTTGCAATGTCAATAGGAACGTCAACCTGCTTTCGATGTATGTTTATCATCGCTCCAAGCATTCACCGGAAAGTTGGTCAGTTTGGCCCACTTTCGAAAACATAGCGACGATTTGAGCGCCACACATTGCGTTTACTGTCCTGGGTTGCCATGCTGGTGCCGGTGGGCAGTGCGCTCGTGGGAGCATTTTGTGGCTTTTTGGTTTCCAGCAGCTGGGACGAGATGGGACGAGATTCTTCTCCTTCTCAACATCCTTTTAGAGAATGCCTGGTGTACAAGTGTGTATGTGTGCCATACATTGGTACATCCTTTAAATGAATTTAAATGCTAGATCCTTCGTTTTTCGTACTTCTCATGCGTCCATGGCATCCCCTGCAGCTCCGATCGCAGCTGCCAATCCAAGGTATCATGAGCAAGCGGAAACCACAAAACAGCTATCCTCAGTTCGATACTTGGACGATGCTTCAAAACATAGAATAGAAGGGAGTCCCGAGCAAATCATTTGTTTCTTTGTTTGAGGAAGGTTCACTTCCTTCATCATCACAGAGTTAAACATTCTCCGTGCTTCGATTGCCGCAATGCCATTGCTGCGAACTGAGGAAAGCCTGGACGTTGTGAAAAAGAGTTTGTGGACTGATGCTGCGAAGGCCCAGCAGGTTGACACTAGATTTGGCATCTAATGTTGGCCTCAACACGACCTGCCGCATGGGTTTCACCAAAGACGAGGCCCTTGTGCCCAGCAAGCCTCGTGCATCAGACTTATTATATGCTCGTGAGACCCACGTGATGTCATCCTACGCACCAATCCTTCAAATCCGGAGGCCACCGCAAAGTCAGATGGCGCCAAGAATCGGGAGGTACCCTGGCAATTCAGTGTCAGCTGCTCCCCTTCATGGGACAGCCAGATCCATTTGATCCATCCTGAGCTTGAAAACTCACGAAAGCTTTTCAGGAAGGGCTCAATCTTCTAAACATTAGTGACAGGCCTCAAGATCTCAATAGCATTCAATAGCCATCCATCAACCCAGTGGTAGTTGCTAGGGCGAACGGAATGCTTGAATCATGCAAAGGTGAGATCAAGCATTAGTTTAAATGGATCTTTGAGTGATTTCCAGTGTTCCCTGAGTTCGACATTTGGATCCTCTCTATAAAACTGTTGGACATGCTTTGGATACGGGATGATTCACTACAAGCCTTCCTTCTTTCAGGTCCTCCGTGCTGCCAACCTTCTCAACAAGACTTGGCCTGTGCGGATCTCCTGCCGGCGCTACTTCCCGGGCGCCGCCGGTGCAAAGATCCTGCATTTCATCCGCCACGGCCAGGGGTTGCTAGTCGAAAGGGGTGTTGTTCAGGACTGCGGCGGGTCTTACGATCGAGTGAGTTTGGGGCTTAAGACTGTGCCCCGGAATGAAACAGGGCAGTCAATCACTCAAAAAAATGTATTGGAAATCGCGTCTATCTAGGCGTTGGATGATTCGCCAAACTCTGAGCTGTTGAATGAGATTCCGAAGAATTTTGTTCCAGGAACTCAAGTAGTTTGGAGGGAGCTACATGGTCGAGAGATGAAGTCACACATGGTGCGACTGAGGTTTCACAACTCCTTCAATGACTTCTGCAAGGTCTTCGGGGTCGAACCTGTCAATCCATACAACATACCAGACGCTCGGTGTGAAAGAAGCAAACCCAAGATAATTCAGATTACTGTATATATTCCCATTCATACAAGGCATTATTTAGGCATCAACTGTTTTTGGCAGTTGCTTGATGTTGCCTCCAGTCCTTTCTTCGGCCTGCCTTGAGGAGAATTTCGACCCGCCACTGACTGAGATTGGCCGACAACAAGCGCTCGCTCTCCGGAGCTATGCTCGGACCACTGCGCCAGAGTTGGTCGTTGTGTCCCCCATGAGTTGCATGGCACGAGTCCTTGGGCCCACTTTTGACACAACCACCCATAGACGACCACCATCTATCACCTATTCAGCGTGAGGTGGGTCCATGTTAGTTGAAAACTCAATGATTTGAAAGGTATTCTGCCTGTGCGAAGACAAGGATCCCTGGTGGATAGCAAGGGTCCCTGAGAAGGAAAGCAGAATCCACCTTGCTTTCGGAGAGGTTAGTGAAATTCAAACGGGTGATGTGAATGTGCAAACGGTGCCATGTGATTAGAGGAAGGTCGGTCAGGACCAGGACTTTTTGTCAGGCATGCATCAGAGTCCTTCCAACTCAAAGTTAGAGAACCTTTTTTTACTCCCCATGCCGTAGTACCGCTTAGTGCTTGCAGGTCGGGCTTTAATGACCTCCAACATCGCCTATGCCCACGTCATCGGCAGAGTCCCTTTCCTGGCGCATGAGGGCTGCAAGGAGAAGAGTCACGGCAATGCCTGCGACTACCGGCGAGACACAAAGCTAGCGAAGCAGGACTTCCCTAACGTGGAGTTTGACTTGGTCCCAGAGCAGGACTTTGTCCGGAGAGAGCAATGAGTATGACAATGTATGGAACAAGTGAATTGTACATGGTATTTTAATGTATTTTATGCAGTATATGATATGTATGATCGGTAATGCTATGTGGCTCGAAAACCCTCGCATGCGCGCATGCGTGTTCGAGGTTGACGAGGTTTGGACCCACAGCAAGGAGAAAGTACCAGAGTTTGAGCTTGGCCCTTGGGGCAGTGAAGTTCTGAACATGTGTAATTTTCAAGAGATATGTCAGCTTCAAGAAATGCATATGTTAGACCTCGTTGATAGGACCCCTTATTGGCCACCCTGCATCACGAGACAGACATGGAGGTGGCTCAAAGGGCCTATGACTTCATGCTGTGGATTCGAGGTCGCTCTGAGAGAGAGACGCTTTGACCAAACGGTTTGATGAATTATTGACAATGTTTACAGCCCTTGACGTGGCATCGCCACTTCAAGTCACCACTTGTTCATGCATGCAAGCTTGGTTGCTTTTGGCATGCGGCTTAGCCCAGGATTGTTGTTTCCACTCATTCTGCGTGGCTCTTCAACCTCTTCAATGTGGTGCTCAAGTGCAACTGGGCAAAACATTGCGAAACCGTAGGCCCTTCACATCCCTTCACCAGACCTTCCTTGGATGAAAGTTGCATCGCAAAGCATCGCAAGCCTTCAGAACTTGGTTGGTCGACTTAGGCGATGATGCCGAGTTGGCAGACTGGTTTGCCAATGGGGAGCTCCGGACAGTGATGGTGGACTTCGAGTGAAATTTGCCACCTCCAGTTACTGCAGTCGCTCTCCGATCGACGAACAACTGAGGGTGTCTCAAGACCGGGTCGAGAAAGGATCTTGAAAAGAAGTTGAAAAAAGATCAGAGATGATGACAAGAGGACCCCCCCACAAAAAGGAAAACACGTACTAATTGCTGTGGGAACTTGGCAACGCCTTGAGACATCCTTGCTTTGCAAATCTGTGCGGATCTACATTTGAGTGGATCCAGCATGGTCCAGTTCTGAGAAACAGAGACCTGAACCGCTTTGCGGGGCGGACATCGGTTGATTGGTGGGAAAACTGCGGGTGTGGGGTGTTCGATGCCTACGAGTTTCTTCTGAAGTTTCACAAACGTTCTTGGTTTATCTTCATGGGTGTGACATGTCCTTATACGGTTCAAAAGTGCTGGTGGAAATTGACATGATGGCGGATGTGAGGCAAAGCAAAGCACAGTTGACAATTACTTTCTCGAGAACTTACGAGTACACTGAGTTGAACACTTCCTCGTTAAACGTTTTAGTGGAGCGTATGCATGTCATTCTTCTGGTTAGGAAAAAACATGGAAAAACATGTTCCTCGATAGTTGGTATTGTCTAGACGTCCTCGCTTGTCAGCGATTTTGAAAAGCGCTCCACTTGTTTCAAACAGGGACGCCTACATAGGTGTTTGCTAACTTCCACGTTAAAAGGGTCAATTCAGCTTCTTCATTTGTTGGTAAGTTCTGGGGGGAGTATATTGCTTAAGCAACGGAACTGTAGTTGTGGTGAACCTAACCAGGAAGTGCATGTTCAGCCAAACCGAACCAGGAAGTTGTCTCTAGGGCTAGGATATTCCAGTTTAACCCCCAACATGAAAATGCAGGGGAACCCTGGCTTACCTGGAAGTGCAGCTTCCCTCCCCTGGTCATTTCCCGGGGCTGCAGGGAGAAGGTCAGCTTCCTCGTTAAAACTTATCAATTTATTACTCTTCCTCATTAGCTGATAGCTCTTACCTGCTGCTGGTCTATTCCTGGGGAATTGTCATGGTCGGCAACTTCCTCATAAACAGCGTCCTCGGCGAGAGTTCATCGGGAAGGAACCACGCCTGCCTGGCAACCCACTGCACTGCAAGTCGCACGCGCAACCAAGGTGGGGAGAAGAGTTGGAAGCCCCCGGCAAACAGGTGCACAGTCAGAGTGGGGCTGTTATTATTTGAGAAGTTGTTGGATGGCAGCTGCCGAGCAATACAATACGCAGTACTTTGGAGGTGCCGAAATGTCTGTGGAGTTCAGGGGCTAGGGCTTCTTCCTTTCGAAGCCAATTGTGGAAACACCTCGTTAACCTGGCTTGTGGAGAAGCATGGAGAAGCATTGTTTTGTCTTGGCTCCAGATCAGAACAATGGCAGCTCCAGGTGCGCGAGAAGCAGCGCGCAGTCCTGGAGGCAGCATTGGCCAAGCAGTCCAATGCTCAGAGCGCAAGTGGAGCCCGTGAATTCTGCGAATTGGGAATTTGAGAGGCTCCATGACTCAATAGGTCATTGTAATGACATCTTGAATGATGGTTTTCTTTGCCTCAAGCCTGATGTTCTTTGTGGTCCTGTGTGGTTCCAAGCCCAGCACAAGTAGTAATTAAGCATGAAGATGTATATAGATCAATCATGATCCATTCAGCATCGCGTGTCGAGTGTCCTGTGCTGCACGGCCAAGTCTTTCATACTTGTCGATCTGATCAAATCAGGTCTGGTCCTCCCGATGTAAGGCTGGGACATCGATCGTGTGTTGAAAGGATAAACATCTAGTAGCTTCGTCTTACTAGTAGTAAGGCCAGGAGCTACTAGTAGCGATTCCCTTTGTTATTAGTAGTTTTTTGATGCTTTTTGCTATTTTGGCACCTCAGAAACCAACGAAAGGGTCACACACCACGCGTTGCCTCGTGAGGCTGATTCGAGCATTGGCCACGGCAGTTCTTCGGTCGCAACTGGCAACCTACTACTAGTGAAAGTTTGGCGTCACTGCGGGACTGGCACAACATCTGTTGAATCCAGGGGCTTCCCTTCGCCTGTTTGGCTGTCGTTGTATGTATGCCCCGCTTTGCTTCCCAAAGTGGCATAAAAGAATCCAAGGAAGGAGATGGAACTGCCAACATGCCAGTGCAGGACTGGAAGAGGCTCAGGGATCGCAAGGCGCTCTGATTGAGAGGATACTTGTTGGCAACGATAACCGAAAAGCATGCTTTGAAGGAAGATTGCCGTTGCAGCTGATGAGCAACATTTGATTTGCACCCACATGTTCAATGACTACAGTAGGAGATTCTGAGCTGCCGGCGGCAGCGGCTATTGCAGTGCAGCCAACCGGAAGTGTCGGAGGAGCTGGTGACGCTGGGATTTGGTTTGGAAAAACCTGCAGGTTTTGCAGGAACGTCGTCGCAGGATATGCTTCTACTACAGTATATAGGTGAAGGCTATTGTGGAGAGGGTGCGCATGATGAAAGGTACTTCATATGTTGCTTTGATGTTAAGAAACCATAAAAATAAGAAAAGTAATGCATTTCTTCAATAGAGTTGGGAGTAGCTGCATCAACCTGGCATTTCACACCTTGGCCCCGACTTGGGGAAGCTGAGGTGGGGCTTCTTGGAAGTTTGCATGCTGGGTGGTGCTGGCCACAAGGCTCAGCCGAGCTCCCAGAAGATGTATGACAAAGTAGGTGATTCTCAACAACTTCCACACCATGGAGGCATGTAGTGATCAAGCTAACAGGGTCATGATCCAGCCAAGATCTACCGGTCACTATGGGTTTGGCACTCTCAAGCAAATAGATAATGAAACTATATAATATTCAATGCTACTGGCACATCGACTCGGGTGCGCTCGTCCTGTTCGGCAGGACGGCACGCTGCTAGAGGGCGCCCCACTCGTGGCTGGGGTGCCTGCACCTGAGGCAGAGCCGGCACCTGTGCAGAGCTTCAGGTGGGGTTCAGTGAAAAGCCATGATGGATGGAGGTCACAATGCGTGAATGAGACCTGCAAAAGCAAGACAAAGGCCGCCAAGACTGGTGGAAGGCTTGCAAGAAGGAAGAAAGACGGGGTATATAACAAGATTTCAACCAATCCCAATCAATCAGCAAAGGGATAGACATGGATGAACAGCTTTTTGAGACCTTTGGTGTTCTTTACGGGCCTCACTCAGACTATGCAGCACAGGAGAGCTGTGACTGAGACGCTGGCTTTCCTGGCGGTGCGAAAAGCCACTTGCTTGCGTTTTGGAAGCCAGGCAATGCTGTGTAAGACCACGGCTTGTGTTCCCTGACTGGGGGCACCCCCAAACCGAAAGAACCGCCTCCCCACCAGGTGGCTGCTGGTCATGATGGTCAAGCCATTGCTGCCTTGGAACGGGCGGAGTTGGCCTGCATTTCCTGTTTGGGCGCTTGGTCACTGAAGAGTCGTAGGTGATTGGTGGAACTGTTAGAAGGAGGTCATCACCACACATCACGACTATTGCCGTGGGATAGGGGAGTCTGGCAACCAAAATTGCTTAAGCAATCAAATTTGCACGATGTTCGCAGAAATTGAGGAGATTTGAGATTCCATCAGTTCGCTGCAAGATTCCCTGAGTCTAAGATGCCTTTCACTTGAGAGGTCTCGCTTTTGCAGAAGCTGCCTCTGGCCGAAGCACGAAGGCTGAGAGACACGGCTGACATTGACGTGAATCCACGACATCGCTGGTTGCACAATTGAGGTGCAGAAGCATCCCTTTGCAAAGAAGAATGTGTTCTCATTTACTGTACTTGGTCATAGTAGTCATCCAAAGGCAAAGGGAGCAGGCTTGAGATTCCAACTGAGCATGCCAGAGGCGTTGGAGCTACTTCGGGGCCTTGCAACGTTGAATGCCTTCCTGCATGAAGGTGTGCAGTGCTCAACTCGAAATGGACATGTAGTCCTAGTCCTATCAGGTCGTACTTGGCTTGTCGTGGGCACCTGTTTGCTGAACATAGTCAGGTCATCCAAGCCTCAAGCACGATTGGTGGGAAGGGTGCCCAAAGGTTGCAACCAAGCATAGACTAATACTCTATGTACGCCCATTGCTTTCAGTTCTGGGACGGTCAACCGACGTCCTTGTCAGGGGATCCTGCCTTCTTCGCTTCAGTCTGGAAAGCGCAGCTTGCTTGAGATCATGGCCACAGGAGAGACCAACCTTCAGCCAAGTACCCAAGAAGCTGGTACATGGATAAACCTGTGACAAAATTTGGTCTACAAGGGTGGAGTTGCCTTGGCCAAGAAGCTGATCTTTGATGCACTTGGCTTCCCACCTAACATCAACCAGCCCTCCAAGAGGTATGCATCTCTTTTGTAATTGCTTTGTGGCCGTCTTGGGTCGATGGTGTCGCCCAACCAACGGTTACCCAAATACCCTAAGGCGCTGTCGCTTGGGCGCACGCGGTGCCCTTCGAGCCTTGCAGCAGTTGGGCGCGGTGCAAGGACAGCAGTGGCTCAGCATTTGTCAGATACTTGCACTTCTTCAGCGGAGAAGCTATAGGGATCTATAATGGAAAGGCTCCATGAGTCTAAGAGTAAGTTTGAAAATGCCCCCTGGTAGAGCCTGGAATCCTAATTGTGTGGTTTAATTTTGTGGGCAATAACTATCATATTGTTTGCCGCATTCAGGTTGCCGGAAGCACTGCAGCCCTTGGCGCAAACCCTAGATGCCTTGGAGGTGGGAGAGAATTGTCAACAAGTCAAGTCTTTTTGATAATCGGAGTTTGGTGTAAAGGATCCGTTCGACCCCATCGAGAAGCCTCCTCATGGGCATTTGTGCGCTTTGCTGCGCGTGGGCGGCGGCCGCTTGCGGAACTGGTGCGCGGACGAGACTTGGCAAAACGTTGGAATTGCTGCTTGATGTCAATGAATTCGTTGTCGCCATTGTCAGCAGTTTCCATTCGGGAACCTCAGCTTTGTCCTTTGAGGAGTTGCAGCGATCCATGGGCTGGGCCCTCAAGCTGGAATCACGGTGATTCGGTTGACCCACAATATTGACATCTATATATTGATCCTGAAGCTGCGATGGGCACGAACGAAGGCCTCAACACACTTGGCGTGCCCGAGCCAGAGGTCACCTTTGAGGACCTCTGTGGATGTTGTGGGGGGCACGAAACCACAGAACCATTTACACCCAGAGATGATCCGATTTCGGCGTCATGCCCAGGAGTTGCAGCCCTTTCTGGTCAGCTTCCGCACAGAGGAAGCCCGGAAGGAGTCGGTGCTGCGCTTCCTGGACTTCTTGGGCGTCCCTTGCCTTTAGATGCACCTGTAGACTAGATTGATGTGGCATTCCGATGTGATGCCGGGCATCCCAACTCAACACTCAGACTGCTGCGATGTTCACTTCCTGTTCGTCCAGTGGTCTCGCTTGCCGAGGCACCTACACTGTGTCGCCACCCTAGGAGCTCTAAGTACCGGCAGAGCTTCATTGAGGCCAGATACTCGATAAAACATGATAAAACCAAAGCCCCGAGACGCCATGAAACAAAAGAGACCCAGCCGGACTGGGAACTTTGAGAAATGAGGATCGTTGGCATGCTCGCAATTCGTGAGGCCTTTGCACCACTGTCTCTTCGTAGCCACGAGATGCTTGGCTGCGCACCGTGCAACCTGTTGAGCTTGCATGTTGTGGTAATCGATCATGACTGGCCCCGCCGCAAGATGGTTTCTCGACCGCTAAGGAGCCAGGTGCCGCCCCATGGAATGCTGCCAGCCTGCAGCAACCGTGAGGTCAGCCATTTTGATCACTAGCTTCACAGAGAGGGTGTTCCCTTCGCAGGTGCAGCCATTTGGACAATTCTTTGATTTTATAAACCAGACTCCGTTGCGGGGCAAACTGATTTTGACACTTGGACATTCATTGCGTGATTTGTCTTGAGAATCCTGCTTCATTGTACAGGTGATGAAGACTCACATAGCCCTGCAAAGTTTGGCGGTGTGGCCGCGGGAGACATTGCTTCATGAGGCGCCAGTGAGTGCTACAGAATGCGGTTGGGTTATTTTATGGGACACTCACGCAGCTTGCCTATCCACCCCTTACTTGGGACTGGTTCCTTGCTCAAACTGTCGTCGCTGGACTTGAGCACTTGGTGCCATGATCACGCAGCTATTGTGCGACTCAGTGGCTACTGGAGGCATTTAGGCCACTCCGGGGTGCTTGGGATCTCCGCACACTGGCAGGTCTTGGTGGAATCCTTGCGGCAGCTCAGTGCCAAAGAAGCGCTGGGTGAGCAGGCGATTTGAGAAGTCCCCCATTTGTGGAAGACTAAGACGGTCGTGGAAGGAAGTGATCAAGAGCTGCGAATACTTACTCGTTGTGAATTGTCAGCTGGATGAGGGATGCAGAGTGGCCGTCCGGAGAGCAGGATCATTGATGGATATTGATAGGCATTGAGCGGCAATGCAAGCCTTCAAGCATTATGAATCATGGCCCAGCAAAGATCAAGAAAGGTTTGGTTTGATAGTTGTTGTGTGTTGTTATTACTTCTTTGGCACGCTCCCCCTGCAATCCGCCGGATCCCCCTCGTCCCAGGCAGCCAAGCTGCCACGCCGAGTCCTGCGAGCTTCAGAAGATCCCAGGCACACCGGGCAGAGTGCGGCTTCACACCGTTCTTGATGGTGCAATGAAGGTTTGCCAGTTCGCCACAGGGCGAACACGTGTTTTTGGTGTTGTATTGCTGCATGATGCCCCGCCTTGCTCTTGAACTCTTGGACCATCTTGGACCTAGCACGTGGATGCTTCATTTGGCAAATTCGGGGCGCCTTGTGAATACTGACGCTTTGCTACCAACCGTAAACATCACTGATAGCATCAATATACAATTGTTCTATGTGTGCATATATATATATTATATGATTGGGGCATTTGGACGAAGACTTGTCATGAATGGGAAGCAGTCAGCTGGCGCATGGTGGGTTCAACCCGAAGCCTTAAGCTTGGCTAAGGAGTTGCAGGATAACCCAGAAGTTTGCATTTGGGACCGGCCTTGGCATGCAGGCTCTACTTTGTTTATGCACATGGGCTTTGGCAGTCAGGACTCCGGATCGCTTTTCAAGTCCTTTCAAGTCAGACCCTGTCGAACGTGAAAGCAACTGACTGGAGTTTTGGAGATGCCGCTTGACCTCAAAATGAACTTGGCTCACCGCAGCCTTCACAAAAGGCACCGTATTTTCCACCCATTGCCATGGTTCTTCGCTTCCTTAGAAAATCACGGCCTGCGCCTGAAGGGCAGCATGCCGTGGGCTGCATCAGGGCGCGTATGCCCATGGAAGGGGGTAAGCACGTTCAAGTCCAAGTGCCTCTTGCCATATACACTAAAAGCTATTTTCATGCATGCTGACATGGATATGCATGATGCGACCATGTGTGACCGGTCTACCTACCTGCAAGGCATTATCCTGGCACCGCAGACCAGCCTCTTCTGACTAGCGAGGTTTGCCCCTTGTTCCGACAGGAAGTAGTTGAGACACTTGGCGCAAAACAGGGGCTCCCTTTGTGGATGCTTGACTGCAACAAGTCACGGATGTGATTTTACTTTCGAACAACACTTAGCACTAGCTCACAGAATTCCAGCAAAAAGAAAAGTACCCTTTCTTGACAGCTTGGCGTCATGTATTCAAAACTGCAGTGTTTTTCCTGTCCACTTTGTTCTTTTGAGTTCTGGCCAGCTGAACTGCCACTCAGTGTGCTACAGTCCCTCTTCAAATATGCTATGCAAGCAGACCCACCACTTGCGCCATCTTCCACATCCAAATGGCCGATCGCTTTGTTTAGCAGTGGAATTTGGGGCGCATGTGAGATGTACACACAATTCTGCCGCGATTTGGCATCTTTTGGCATCGTGGTCATCGCCATGGAGCACGAGGTGGGTTCTTTCTGTATGCGCATCTCATTTTGAGAATGACCACTAAAAGGAAACGTGGTGAAGGTATGTAAAGCCGCACTGATCTTGAAGCGTATGCTTTTCTCAAGTTCTTTCTCACACACCTTTATCACTCAACAGTTCGCATGAGGACGGCAGCGGCATCTACGCTGTGGACTCTGAGGGGCAAACCATCCATTACAAGGATCCACCTGAAGGCCAGGACATTCGCAGCTTCCGTGCGCCCAACCTCCAGCAGCGCACGGAGGAGATTGCCGCCATGGTGCGTGCCTTGAAGAACTTCCCGACGGACGTCTCGCCCTTGTCACAGGCATAGATGGTTGGATGCTGATGAGACTTGACCAGTGTAAATGCCTCAAAAGGATCAGCTAAACCTGCCAGCCTGAGGAATCGAACCTGAACATGGCAATAGGTCGAGCAGAAACCGCAGGTCCGGAGGATCCGTCCCTGTCAGGTGATGCAACAGACTGACCCTGATCGCCTGGCTTTGATTGGGCATTCCCTAGGAGCAGCTGGAGCCATCCGATACCTTCGGACGATGTCCGAGAAAGAGGAGCTGTGCCCGTTTCAGTTTGTGTTGCTCATGGACCTGTGGCCTGAGCCTTGGAGAAGGAAGATGAGGTTTTGGTTAGACCCTATATATATATATGTTTTACTATATTTCTATACGGTAGTTTATGTATGTCTATGTATTATCTATGTTTATTTTTGTTGTTAATATTGATGTGTTTGTTCATGCTCATGCTATTTACTTATGTGTGTTTGTGTTGCTACATTTATGTTGTGCTAAACACACACATATATACAGTATATATATTTACGGGTGTATATATATATATGTATACCGGTCCTCAGAGACTGGGGGATTTAGTGTAGAGTTCATTTGCACTCATATTGCTAAAAATATATACGTATATGCTGAGATAGACGGTTGCAGATCAAGATGCGTCAAGTCACTACTCAGAAGTGATCAGCTTGTAAAGTCATGAGCCGTGGGACTCAGGAGCCCCTCCTGGAGGAAGACTTGGCGTTTACACCACAGGTGGATTTTGCAGTATTCCTTTCGGGCGAGTGGATGGAGAACTCCACCTTCCTCTCAGGCCGGCCTGTGCCATTTTTCAGCGTGGGAGCTGTGCAAAGAGCATCAAAGCTGATTCCAGAGGGATGACTCCAGAAAAATAAAGGGCACCCCCTGTCCCCTGCATTAGACATGTTTGATTGAGCTGTGTTGGGGGATGGTTGTGATAATTGTGATGGCACCTCCAGGCAATCGGCAGATCGTGGCCAACAGCTCCAATCGTGGCGCCCGATGCTGGGCCGCCATGCAAAGTCCTGGTACCTCGCATCAGTGGATCTCCGAGACACAGATGATCGCGCCCTTTTGGGTCTTGCGGAGGCCTGCCGGTCAGAGTCAGTCAGTCCATGAATCCATGAAGCAATTGAGAGGATTGAGCTATTGTCATAAAGCCTCCGATGTGGTTCCTTTTACTGCACTGCACTTGTTGAAGGGTTTTTCTCCATCATTTGCTTGTTTCATGACTTTTCATCAATGTCTCCTACTCCTGAACCAGGTCTGGCCTCATGGGCTCGGGCGATTGGTTCCGCTGCTATGCGGCCACAGCAAAGGCTTCAGGGCAGATCTTGGTTTGCGCCTTGGGGGGCAAAGAGCACGAAGATCTTGAGCCTTGGCTGGTCCACTCTTGGCTGGTCCGCACAGCACGCCTGGTCCTGCTGTGCTTGCCTTCATTTACACACAGAAATAGGGGATGAGGGTCACGGGGTAAGTGGGATGACCATGAAAAGAGGTGGAGGCTGCCGAGGCAACCGCAGAAGCACGCTTTATAGGTAAGGATGAGTCACTGGATGAAGCCAGCAAAGGCGATCGTGGTCCCACTGCGTGTTCCTGGTGCCGCTGCATTGCTCACTGTTTTGGGATTAGCCTGGCTAGCAGAACAGTAGAAAGGAAGGAATGCACTGCGCGGGCAGGTGCAGAATGTGTCGAGTTCTTGTTGCTGTCCATCTCACACCGCTACCACTTGCAAGTGAGGAGAAATTGGACCCAGACGTTTTGAAGAGAATTGATCTTTCTGAGCGGAATGACATGTAATTAGGCAGTGAAAATGGTAGTCGTGAGCCTTTAAGGGCCAACATGGGTTGTGGCGCTAATAGCAGGCAGATCCTGCGATCGTCGGGCAGGGCAAAGCTTTGCCTCTTGCGTCCTTGGTGGTCCATCCCGTGAATTTTTCCAGACGGAGCAAGGGGGTTGTCATCCCACCCTGCACAGCTGACAGTTCCTCCTGCACAGTAGGACTCGAACGAGGGATTGCTCTCTAAGAGAAAGGAGAAAAGATCCTGGCAAGCCGCTGGCAAGCTGTTTGTATTGCTCGGATATGGTATGTGTGAAGAGACCCACCATGACTGCATGACCTGGCTGTCCTTGAGGAGCTCGCGACGACACCCGGGCCGTGCTTTTAAAGCTATGCACCACTGCTGATGGTGTTGATGCGAGGCCTGACAGCACGCGAACCATTTGGACTGCATGGTCCTCACAGAGGTAACAGAGGCACCCAATGATTTAGACGGGGCGTATATTTATTGCAACTCTTATTGCCGTGATGGCAAGAATTCTCTTAGCCGCAGGTTGTTTTGCGGATGTCTTCAGTTCCTCCAGCGTCGCAGAAAGTTTGATACATCCAGGGGATTTAATTGACTAAGTTATACAAAATTCATCTCCACAGGTTGATGATGGCCTGGTGGCACTTAGAGCTCTCTGCCGCCTGCTTGGCGCGTGCGCAGCGGCTGGTCCTGGGCTTGGCCTTCGGATGCCTCGATGCGGGCGCTCCTCAGTATTTGATTCAGAGCATCTCCAGTGCTTGTGGGTTTACAGTAGTAGTGATCCTTCTTGACACCGTGAAAATGACTATGACTTTGTTTGAAATGTAGACCAACTAAAGAATCACAGCACTGTTTCCTGCTTTGAATCACGAAGGTATGATATGATACATCCATTTGTTCTTGAATCCACGGTTGCTGCCCTTGTGACACACTCATGTTCATGCTCAGGTTTTGTCTGGGGCACCCCTGGACTCGCGGGAAGCAGGCAAATACTTCAGATGTCTTGCTGATTTTTAGCGTCTTTATCATATGGGGCCGATTTGTTCCCACATGGGGCAGTACTTGTATGCACAATGACCCTGCAAAAAAAGGCTGCAGCATGTTGCCAAGTTGTATGGTCTTTAGTGTCATCACGAAAGCTAGCTTCAGCTAGCTGGAGTTGCTCTTGCCGTGACACTGTACTGGCCATCTGTTTTGAGGCCATGTGATTAGATGCACGCTAATTAGCTTTCTTCGCCTCAAGTTTTCGTGTTGGACGGCTTTGTGCGTTTTTCCCTTCAAACCCAGGTGACCTTCCACGTCACCTGGTGTGACCGTTGACTGACCAGGCTTGAGGCGCCTTCAGGCGCTCACGCGGCTGCAACAGCTCTTGCCTCACCGCAGCCAGACCGATGGGGCGTTGCGCCGCTTGGACGTAGGGTTGTGGGTGCTATGTGGGAAGGAGGCAGCGCTAACATGATGGTTTATTGCTTATGCTGTTGGCCTGCGGCCTTCAGGAGCATCCCGGATGAATTTACAAAGAGGTCGATTTTGCTGCCCAATTTCACTTGCAGAAGGCCCATGCGGGCAGCCGAGGATACTTGCTCTCATCCTATCAAGCTGTGGTGCTGGCTATGTGACTTGGACCACGCAGAGCCATGCAAGTAGTTGAAGCACACAACAATCACACATCAGAGCAATCATCAACATAGACGTAACATAATAGATCAACTCTTCTTTCTCGTTGATGGCTCTCAATTCAAGTTGGTAGAGTCGCTTGGATGTTTGTTCAACAGAGTGTTTTCCAATGTCGTGGCCCTCACTTTGGCCAGTGTTGCAGGTGTTCTCTGCTAGCACAAGCCTCTGCCCGGAAAGCCTTGGATTTCTTCCAGAAGCAGGCAGGCACAATCAATGAGAGGCGTTTGCAGGTCACTGCCTTTTTATGCCGTTTCTCAATGAGATAGATATAAAATATGTATATATACAAACTCCCCCTTGTAGTCAAACTGGTGCCCCCCAAGCTTTGTTTCAAGAAGCCAGAGGTGCCGGGAAGTGCCAGCGACCGTGTGAGGGCCATGAGTATGGACGCAGGCGGGCACTGGACATGAGCAATGAGAAACTCCTTGTAGCGTCCTTGCTCCTAGTAGCGATGCCAGGAGCCACTAGTAGCGTCCTTGCTCCGTGCTAAACCAACTGAGAGGGCCAGCTCACCCAAGTCAGGACATTGATTGTTTGTGTTCAATCAGCTTCAATGCAAGAATGATATAGTCCATGAAGAGTGCGCTAGTCTTTGGAAAAATCTCAGCCATCCAGAATCAACAGATATCGGATAGGTGAAGCAATGCCTGCTGTCAGAAATTGTTCAAAAGAATCTTCAGGCTTCAAATCTCATTACATTACTATGGTTTCAGAGTAGATGACACAATCCCCAAAAGGTGGTTGATATGGACCCCATATAAAAGACATGTTTGGGTTTGTGCCATCTATTCTGAAACCACAGTGGTGAGTCCTTTCGACCCACTTGACTTTGCCGACGCTTTTCCTTTCCAGGCCCTTTGAGGCCCACGGCCAGCAGCCGAGCTTCGTTGATGGAGAGCATTGGCTGGGCGCGGGCAGCTGAGCAGTTGCTGAAATTGCTGAGTGCGTCTTGGAAGCAGTTGATTTGCCTTCAGAGAGGTAGCCCCATGGCTTTCCATGCCGGACACATGGGCAAACAGAACCAATGAGCAAGTTTCCCCCTTTAGCCGAGGCAGCTCAAACACCGCCAAAGATACGGCTAGCATCTCGACAGGGAAGGCAGTTGATCAATCTCTTCAGCTTGTGCTGTGATCAGTGCTGGTGTGCCTTTCCAGGCTTGAATCTCATTTGCCAGATATCCCTAGTCCTAGTGACCCCACCAGTTGTGCATTAAAATATGTGGGAATGTTGGCTTCACATGGCCTCACGGCTTTTTGGATGTCTTGGAAATGCCTGCGGGGCGCCCTTTGAAGGATCTATAAAAGCATGGTCCGATTTCTCTCCTTTCGTGGCACGAGGAAGCGATCCGCATGTCCCTTCGATTGGACCCTGGAAGCCCGTTCGCCCTGCGCCGCTGGGACAGAACTTGGGAATCGTGGGGATGCGTTGAAGGCTATCATCAAGAGGGGAGTCAGCTTGGAAACATGGGCCAATAGTTTGTTCATGTTTGCTCAATTGTTACGCACTTCGGTCCCAGTTATATAGATAGGATGAGATGGATGAATATGGATGAGACACCTTGCTAACTTGCTAAGTGAACTCAAGCAAGCTTACTGGGCATTTGAGACTCTGCACTGGTGAATGCCCTAATCCAACCCCACGCTCTCCCAGGTCACCTCACTGAGCTTCGTTTATCACAGGGCCTTGCAAACACTTTGCGGCGGGCGCGGCGGGGGGCTGGAATTCGCGTTCCTCCCGAGTCCAGCGTCCACCCAAGCACGTGCACGGCACAAATGTGCATGAACTTCAACTGCCCAAGCTCTCCCCTGCACAAAGTAACATTCTCCAAAGCGCGAGCTTGAGCATGACTTTGCTTTTTGGTGGTGTTTGTTGTCTCAATCTTCACTTATTGCAGTAGGTACTGAAAGCCGTTTGGGAGTTTTCTGCCAATGATCGCAGATCACAGTGGTTCAGAATGACAGTCATTGCTGATCCCACTGCGTGCGGCCATGAACGCCCGAGAGGAGCTAGACGAAGTGCTGGGGCTGCATCGGCCCACGCCATTGGGTGCCAGTGCGGCACAGTGGTCGCTCGTTGAAGTGCAAAGAATTCACAGACACGGGACTACCGTTAGGCTTGGGGGTTTCTTCAGGTAGCACAAGGATGTATGGTTGGAAAATGGCCAAGGTTTGCCAGCTCTTTTGCTTTGGATCGCAGGTTTGTAGCTTTGCTTGTCCTTTCTTGTGTCCAGTCAGCAGCGACGGCAAGTTTGGCAATCAAATGCCGTCAAGTGAATGTGGGGAAAAAACATGCAGTAGCGATTTCCACAAAACTCATCCTCCCAAACTCCATGAATTCTGAGAACAAAATGGCAACCTGTTGTGAATCGGCCAATGTGTGGCTCCTTCCTACCTTTTTCCAGGTTGGACTCCTTCCGCGTGGCCCTCCACGCCGAAACCGGCCTCCCCGGCAGCGCCGCCCGCCGGAGCGGGCTTTGCGAGCGGGCGCTGGCACTGGCTTCACCGGTGCCCATGGGCCATGGGCAATGCGAAGACCCGGATGATGTACCTTTTAAAAAAGAAAGCCCATGAAAGCCCCAAACATTCGTGTGTTTCCTTCATTCCGTGTTCTCTTCCATACCAATCATGAAGCAGCAACTGACATTGGGCTTGCGTTCCGGCTGTAAAACACTGCAGCTGTGAATCATTTGCTGAAAATCAGATCAAACATTATCAAACTGACTATAGGTTCCTTCAGAATCTATATAATCATTCCCAACTCGGGCTCCATGGCCAACCCCAAACTGAAAGGGAAGGCAAGGTCTGCACACACTGCTCCCTTTTCGCTTTCAAGCAGGTGGCCACGGGGAGCATTTGGTCCTTCTACGGCCTCATTCTCCTTTTGAAGTTACATCGCGAGGGTCGAGGCTCACCGCGCGGAGCGGCGGAACTGGAAGACCGGACGGAACTGGTGGCTGTGGCTCCACATCAGATGTGTTGACCAGCTATGCTATGCAATAGGCGAAAGAGATGGTTGAATCATGTTGAAACCGACCCCCCTTGGGAAATCTATAGGACTGACGGACTTAGTTCATTTCATGTCCCTCCAGTAAGAATTCCTTGAACCCTCATGAAGCTCCACCTGCACCACGGCCCACCAGGCTCAGCAGAGCTTTGGCGCGCCTCGGTCCGTGCCACTAGCCGGGTGCCGCTGCGCAAGGTCCTGTGGCTGCTGCACCTAGCTGCTTGCGAGGCCAAGGATGCCGTTGGAAAAGTCCAGAGTGAATAACGATCAAAATCTATTGAAGTAATTGTACAATATATCAAGATATCTCAAGCCATGGAAAACCTGTCAGTGAGGCTCTGGCTGTGGCACTCTGGAAGTATTCAAAACCTTGGTCCTCGGTGAACTTGGGCGTGAAGGGAAGAAGCGGTTTACAATGGCTTACTGTGGCTTTGACTTCATGTGTTCATCGTACATTGAGGGTTCAGTTCAAGCATGTTGGAGTTGCACATCGCTCATAGGTGTGCACACAAACGTTGAATACACGGATTTGTGATGACATCCTCAGTCCTCGCGGATTTGGATTTGTGATGCTTTGGACCACCACCGCATGTCCCGACCCACTCCAGGCACGTGCAGATGGCGGTACTCCCGAGGAGGACTGGGCGTGAAGCCAGGCTTTTTGGGATGCTATGATCCTAGTTGCTCGACCACTCTTGGCTCAAATCGCTTGGGATCCTATTTTATATATGATTTAATATACATGTTTACTTATTTATATATCCATATGTCATATATATATATATATGTGTGTGTGTAAGGTATTCGATCCTTTGGTGCGTCTATCCGTGTTTGACTTGGGATGTAGAACTGCTAGGGATCTTCAATGTCACATGGTCCGATCCGCTGCGCCCCATAGGAGGTGATTGACCTGGTGGAGGCCATTGAGTCGAAGGAGATCTTCCTCCACGGCGACCCTTTGGAAGCCATTGCGTGAGGCTACCGATAAGATGGGTTGCAACAAGGTGACGCCAGATTCTCACAGATGTGGAGAAGTGATTTGAGACGATATGAAACAGAGTGAAAAGCTAGCTTGAACCATGCAACATCAGCAACATACGTCAGGTTCCCCAGCTGGGGGAGCTATATGCGCCACACCTTGGTTTGCTGGCCGCTTGTACATACACACCGAGCCTGGCCGAACTCTGGCAGCGGGCGGCGATCGGAGAAAGGGCGCCAGGGTCGCTTTCCTCCAGAGATTCACAACTTGCACACCTCATGGGAGCGGATATATATATATATATATATATTGATTCCATATTTATACACATATGTAACATATATAAATATTCTATATGTATATATGTATGTGTATATATATATGTGTGTGTGTATATATATATATATTATGCTATGTAGAACGATATTAAAACCAGTATATGGCTAATGATATTTCCCACCAAGGTGATTTGGAACAAAGAGCCGAGCTGGTGGAACGCCTCATCTTGGTCCGATGGCTCAGTCGAAAGGCCGAAGGATCCATCAACAAACTGGACAACCCTGGCCATGAAAGTAGAGCTGCCAGAATCGACTCCAGGGATTTTCTGGAAGACCCCCTTCTTGATGAAGTGTTCAAGATTGAATCAGAAGCTTATAAGCTACTAGGAACAAGTGCATCGCTAGTAGTAACAGGTGCCTTACTAGTAGTAACAAGAAGCTATTAGAATTTAATAATCCTCCAATCCCCATCTCTTTGGAGCCCCCAGATGGCCAAGGTCAAGTTTGCCGACCAGTGGGTCGACCAGGGACTTCCCGCCACTTCGGCATCGCTTCATCGGAGAGGGGTGGAAGTGTCCCTTTCAGGCTAGAGTCTCCGAGATGTAGGGCATTGTTATGTCTTCTTCCAAGGTTCTACTCATTGTGAACTTCTCACCTTGCTTAGTTGCATGACATTTGACAGTGACATTTACGGATGAGCTTGGTGAAACCATAACCTGCACGTGTGCTTATGTAATTGCTCGTTGCATAATTTGGTTTGCCGACCCACTTACTTCTTACATTACATGCTCAGGTTGTTCATGCTTTTTGCTCATACCGCCGCCATGCGAGAAGTAGAATGTAAGAGCAATACAGGAAATGTTGCTTTTTTGTAGATGTGGGGTGCCGCAGTCTAGCTGGGCTTCTTTCCTGTGCCAGGTGAAGCGCATTGGCAGTATCAAGGCGGCCCTCAGGCAGGTTGCAAGATAGTACATGGGTCAAGTGCACCGCAGACTCCCAGGAGCGGCCATGTTTGGGAGGAGTATTAGTTGTTTTTGTTGTTGTTGTTGGGGATTTTTGAGGAGTGGAGGATGTTGCAAGACACCGGCCTGAAAAGGATCTTTCTTGTATCTCCTTGTCTTCATTTGTCTTGTATTCTCACTAAGTCACTCAAGGATGCCAGAGTTTAGTCGATGGGGATGCATTGGTGAGCATATTGATATCAGATAAGCTCGAAGTAGACCCACGAGCCAACCAGTTGTTTGTTTAGGGCGACCCCCCCTCAAGACCGAGCCATTCCAGGCATGTCCAATCGAAAGAACAGATGGAAAACTGATAGCTTAGAAGCTCGTGGCAGAATGTGGCAGACATGACAAATTGGTTTTGTGCAACATCAGAGTTTGGCGGAGCAAAGGGCATAGCGAGACACTTGCGAGAGGACTGAGGACCTCCAAGAGGACCTCCAACACTTGTCAGCTGATATTTTAGACGATGGATAAGGCATAAGGCTAGCCAATTCGTTTTGTTTGGTTGATCAAGGAGAATGATATTCGTCGCCGTTTTCGCGCCTACTTTCTTTCGATTCACAAGAACTCATGCATTGAGAGGAGCCTCCCAATGGCCCAATCCAATCTAGAACTCCCAGAAGGAAGTCCTTGGATGGCTTCGAAATGATTGCTCCTCCAGCGTGGGTAATGCTATCAGCTGGCAGAATCTCAGACCAAGTCCTAAGTCCTACCTGCACCTTTCATGCCATTGGTGTGCTTTGGCCATGGATGATGACAATCAGTACGATGATGAGGCTGGACCTTGTGCAACCGCGTGTATTTTGGGGGTGGATGCAAAGGGCGGCAGGGGAGCGGGTCCATGTACAGTATTTGATTTGCACTGCGCGTAGCGCGTCGACTCTATTTTGCTTGCAATGTTACAATCATGCCTTTGGGGAGTGACTTGGGCCACCCTGCGTGTTTCTGCGACATTATGTAGCAATAGCAGTTGCTTGGAGGGCTGAATAGCTATAGCCATCTATAGCTATATTGCGCTGACTGAAGCGGCTTCAGGAGTTCGATGATGATGACTTCGAGAATGAGACTGTCGAGGAGATTTGACATATCCGGCGGCAGAGCAGATGAGACCCACGTTTGGACCATGGCTGTGTTTGTTGGCCTTTAGATTGAATCGAATTACATTATAGTGAATGTTGAAAGGTTTCAAGATTGATATGCCCAGCGAATCTCCGCATGCCCCATGAGAGAATATATAGTATTGTGAAACATGGGTTCATTGGCAAGCTGTGTTGAAGAAATTGGGAAGATCTGATTTGTTCCCTGCCAGAGGACGACACAGAAGAGGACGAGCCACAAAAGGAGGATCCAGATTCGCCAGCAATGTGGCTGCAATTTGCAAGATTTGCATCAAGAGACTGACCTTGCCAGCAGCTTTGCAGTTGAGAAAGCCAAGTGCTGGTAACGTTGATTGAACATGATTGAGCTAGCATGCGGCATGCGTGTTCCCGGCAGATTCCTGCGTCTCAGAATTCCCCGACACAGATGCATGTACCTGCGGATAAGGTACATGCAATCTTCACACCATCTTCTGGGTGTCAGATCACCGTGCCCAGCGTGCCTTGGGCATTTTTGGAGTAGCTTCTAGCTACTAGTGCTAATAGCCTCCAACCTAATAGCGATGGCCTCCAACCTAGTAGCTTTTAGCTAGGTGCAGGCCTTGCAAGTAGACCTTTCCAAGTTGGAGGGACGACTGCCACATGAAATTCCGTCGAGTCAACGACATTGCATAGGTCCATCCAGCATGACGGTTTTGGCCTCCTTTTTTCCCCTGGACATGTCGTATCAAATCGTATTTGTGCGGCAATCTTGACTTGAACAGCTGGCCAGCGTAAGCAGATGCAAACAATGCGTGTTTCTTCTTTTTTCTGAAGCTTGTTTTGAGACACTCCGTCATAAACCTCGGCGACTGCAGGTGCCCATCGAGGATGGCATGCAGATTTGGGGCGGCAATTCTGCAGAATGGGAAGTGAAGGCTACCGTGATGTGCACCCTGTGAACTCACACGTCAATGTAAGAAAGGCAGATATTCTTTTCGTGCTGCCAGGGCTCAGCTTCGGATGCGACCCTCTCGGAGCTGCCACCCCACTTCTTAGGGGGCCGCTTGCTGCGGTGTGCTGAAGGATGCCGGAAATGATTGGAGATAACTCAAGAAGTTCACAGGAAGTGACTGAGGATTGCTCAAGTCTCAGTATAAGCATTTACATGGCGAAACTGCGAATAGCTCATGTAAAGCAGTTATAGTTTATTTGATGGTCGCTGCTGCATGGATAACTGTGGTTTGACCAAACCATGGGTCGGCCTTCGTGTGATAATAAAAGGGCAACTCAAAGAGTTGCCATTTGAGTTGAGAGTTCCTCAAACTGCAAACTTTGGTCAAGAAGTTGTCTCTTGAAGGAGCTTTGGGCAGTGCCCGCTCTTTGCTGCAGGCCGCAGGGTAGTTGATTGCTTCCAAGGTTCAAGCCCGATACCTCAAGGTAAGAAGCTTCACAAGATCTAGCAACATGTATTGTTCTCTGGTCGCCACACACTTCTCAGAAATGGTGCCATTGTACTGGGAGATTAAACCTAAAGGAAAAGGCAAACCCATGTGAATCCACCAATGCGACAAGTGACACAGTTGTGCCGGTTGTTTGCAGGTGACCTCACTCCACCAGGATGCTCGGCTTTACGTTGTCCTGGAGGTCCCCAGTGGCAAGAGCACACCCGGAGAATCAGGCGACGGCCACGAGGGCTTCCGGCAGATACGCACGTGTGATCAAGGCTGTTTGATCGCACAAGCCAGTGTTGAAATGACTAGGTCTCGAGAGAGAGCCGACTAGGCTGCGTTGACACACTAAGCTCCAAGAGGCGGTACAAGCGAGTGATTTCTCCAATCGGGTCCAGAGGAATTCACGAAATGCAGTGTGAATCAGTGAGCCTGCTTCATGGGCAGACAATGGAAAAGGCCATTGGCTTTTAGGCGAAAATTTGGCAGCATGAGAGGCCGCCTGAAGGGGTATGTTGCTCGGTGCTCAATGCATTCCCCCGCTACTGAACCTACTGTAAGCCTGCCACATAGAAGCCCCAAGTAGAGAGAGGGAGAGAGAGATTAAACAAGAAGTAAGTTGAAGAGGGAGTTCTTTGGAATTTTGAAAGGCCCCTCTATTTAGAATCCATACTGCCAGTCAGAAAACGCCATTTATCCATATCATATCTATCCAAGCAAGTCGTCCAGCGCTTCAAGCGCTCATGCCAGGCACCTCCTTGACCACCTGCTTGGCGAACGGCCAGCGCTGGATTTCTGAGGGTGAAAGCGCCCCCAGCTGGCTGGAGCTGGAAGGCGGGGCTTCGGCTTTTGGCCGTTTGAGTCTTGCAGAACGCCACCGTTCAGACGTGCCAGGCAAGGGAAAGCGACCAGAGCTGGTCATGCTCCATGGCCGAAAGTACCAGAACACTGTGCTGCAAGGATCGTTATCGACCCCTATTCTGCGGAAAGGCCGTGTGGGAGTGCGCCACCAACATCCAACCACCATTTGAAGCTGCCCTGTTTCATGATTTTCATGTCCTTGGTGCTCCTCGGAAAGGCGTCTGAAACCATCCAAGACCTTCACTGTCCACCGTAGCATCGGCGTGCGTCGCCGAGCTGAGGTTCAGCACCTTTGCCCCGAAAGGCGTCTCTTTGACGTTGCCGCAGGTCATCCTCACAGGCCCGAAGAAGTAGGGATCCCGTTCAACGAACTAAGGGATACCCACCATGTGCGCTCAGGCTTAGCGCATGGTGATTTGAAGGTCTTGGGGAAACTCAGTGACACAGTGACAACCAAGAAAGCATGCATTAGGAAAAAAAAATATATATATATATATAATATGTATTTATATATACTTGTATATATATATACAGTAATTACTGTGGGATTGAGGGAGAACCGCAACTCTTGCTTCCCACAGTTCAGCTAATGTAGAAGCCTGCAATGAAGCTGTGGATGCTCCAGAGAGTCGAACAGCGTCGCAACGCAGGTGATCCACCTCGAGGCTTTGTCGCTTTGGCCTGGATTGTGGGTCCGCCACATGAGGAGGTTGCCGGGTCAGGTTGCCATTTAGGACCAGCTAGCACTATTACATCATGCCACTGGTTACTGCATGCACATGTCACATCCGTTCTTTTGATTCCAAACAAATTCTGTGCGTCTCTCATCCTGTCCCTTCTTTCGACCTGGGTCGCCTCAGGTCGTGGTAGTACCACTGATGGCGGGTTGCTTCAACGTCAGCATGTCCAGTGACTCCACCGAGCTCCAGGTGCAGAAGGCCACCATGGACGAAGGCGCGGGGCACGAAACGGCTTTGGCCTGGAGCTTGAAGATGTTTGGGCCCATGTGCTTGGGGGTATGCCATGGACTCTGGGAATGGAGTGAACCAATGTAGATGTGTGTGAATTGGTGGAGATGGGCCTGCCAGCACGGGAGGAGACTCTGTCCTGGCCAAGCTTCAGGTGTTGTTGCCTGGACAGATCGGGATCACCAGTACTTGGACGTTCCAGTCACCTGGCCTATTTTGCGCCCAAGTGCAGAGTCTTGAGTTCTCCGGAATTCTCCGAATCCCTCTCTTGCTTCAATTAAGTTTCCCCAAAAATCTAGGAACCAAAATGGGAAGCTTCCTGGAAGAAGCGTGAGCTATCCTGCGTCCATATGTAGTAGCTTACTTGTAGGTACTAGCATCTAGCTACCGACTCCCTAGCTCACCTACCTCCCTCTGGCCCTACTAGCGGCCTACGCCCAAACTTGTTTTGCTTTTTGTTTGGAGGGGGGTTCAAGTTACCGCCCAATCGCTTAGGAATACTTGAAGCATGGCGTCCTCTTTCAGCAGCCCTTCAAAGACATCCCTGCTGGGACCGTGCTCACTGTGCCGCTGACCGACCCGACGGGTTCATTCTGCGCAGCATGCGTCTCTCCTGTGCATTCTGAACAGACCATGATCTGACCTGAAATTAACCTGTTTGCTGGTTACTGCTTGCAGTGAACAAGAGTCCGCCACCTGGTCACCAACGGAACGAATATCGAGTTGCGGAATCCTCGCCAAGACCATTTTGGGCCACCCTACATTGATGGATATTGCTGGTTTAGGCTCCCAGCAGTGCAGACTGTTCCTACAAGCGGCCAGCACAATCTTGTGCGTTGGTTCCATTTGGTTCCCATCAGAGATGTTTTCAAATTCCTCTCCCACGTCTACCTGGATTGATTTCCAAAGAATCCGCCTCGCCTTATGAGGATCATGTAAACCTCCTTTTGCTCCATTGGTCCAGGTGCGGCCCAACAGTGCGGCGTACATCTACGTGATCACCGAGCGGCGGTCGGGAAACCAGAAGCCCAGCTGGGCAGAGCCTTGGTCGAGTGGAGCAGGAATGATCCCGGTTTGGGCTGTTCCCGTTTGTTTGGGCTTTGAGAAGTTCGAGAAATCATGTTCGAACATGGCCATAAGTGGCCTGGTGGATGTGCGCACAAGAAAAAGAGAAGGCTTCTCGAACTGAGCGCCATGCTGATCGGCAGAGAGCATCGGAAGGTGGGCATACCCATTGGAAGCTGCGAATCCATCTGACAATCATCGAATTAGGCAAAGCTGGTGCCCCTATGAACAGCCTCCTTTGCAACATTCTCGAAATAGTTTTGGACGCTACTAGGAGCAAAGGGCATCGCTACTGGAAGCCAGGACGCTACTTGGAGCTTTTTCGCGCGCTCGCGCTCAACCATCGCATCACAACGACCCCCAAGATCTGAGCGGCTAAAGGGCCCGTTGCGGGACTCGCTCTTTCCATCTCCTTCCCAAATCTTGAAGCATCCAAGGAGGATTTGGGAATTTCATGGCACCTGGAGGAGGCGGCTCCCCGCTGGCACGAGCTCCCGACCATGCGGACCTACAGCCGGTGCCTTTGAGAAGATCTCATACGTGACCAAGGCCATAGCTTCCCATGAACCTGTGAGGCGTTCAGTGAAAGATGTGGAAGTTCAGAACATGCGCTCTTTGAGCTTGGGCGAATCTGTGGGAATGTGAAGCGCATGCTGGATAGATCGGATAGATGTTTGACTCGCTAAGGTATTGTCCGGCAGGTTGGCCCCTGTCCTTGCCGCCCTGCCATGCACCACCCAATGATGGGCTGGTCTTCAGCGTGGTGGTTGCTTGGCTCGTAGCTGATGGAGTCATAGGCCACCACGACAACAACCAAATTGCCTGGACAGGAGGGTTTTCCGTGTTTCTCCTGTCGGAGCTGATGTGTGGGCCAGCATGAGGCAATGCCGAACTGTGTGAAACACTGTGAGATGATCATGTCTTCAGACATGCTGCAGGCCAGTGCGGCTAAGTGTTCTGGTGAGTGCATGGCACAAACTCTGGCTCGTGAAGAAAGAACACCTTCCTGGTCACCTCCCTTTGGCTTAACCAAAAAATAGCCTTGGCTGGACTAGACTCTGAGGTCACTCCAGTCACTGCTCAATCAACTGCACCTCTTGAAGTCAGCTGTTACAACGAGGCAGGGCAAACAGTCCATATGATGAGCTGGCTGCTGTATGATGCGTGATGTGTGCTACATTGTTCTACTACTGTATCCAAATTCTACTGTAGATGATTCTAGTCAAGACCTGCCAAATCAGCTGTTGTTCAAATAAAACGCCCCTGGTAGATATTGACTCATGCCCCATCACTGTTTCCATGAGTTACAGTAGGCTAGTTTATGATTCTGGTTCATGGTGCGATCTTTCGACTTGTTGTCAAATGTTTGATTGGCTGATCCATGTTGATCCATTCTCAAGTGCCCCAGTGTGAACGGCCGCCTGGCCGAGGGCTTCGTAGACACCGAGCTGCTGACGCTGGAGGAAGGGACACCCTTAAGAAGCACCCATGGCCAAGGCTCATTGGTCGAGGCACAAATCTGAATCCAGACCAGTTTGGAGTCCGGTCGGTTGACCGATCTTGAGCGGAGTGCTGTTTGTGAGGAGGTGAGCATATTCACCTTTAGCCTGTGGTGCGTACCCTGCATGGTGTAGGTGGATGCCATGTGGTGATATATAATGATGATGACGATTATGAGTCTTATGAGTATTGTTATTACTATTGTGATTATTCAATGATGCCCGTTCTTTACTCAAGAAATATGTGATGAGTTGAGGACAAGGGTTGGCGATTTCCGATATCAGCCCACCTGGAAGGTGCCGCTGTGGATGTGCGGCTCCACGCTGATCCGGCCAGATGCGTCCCATGCCCCGTACCTTGGAATTGTGTGCCAGAGGATGTGAAAGGTGTTTGGGATGGTTTGTTGGGAAGGGAGCTTGGTTGGGCTGCTTCGCCGCATTGCCATGGCTCTTCTAAAGTCTATAGATAGAGTTTTTGTTTGGACACCTGCAGAATTTGTATTGCAAGACCCCTCAGACTGAAACTCCTTGACCTTCTTGAACCCTTGGACCATAGGTGTGTAGACCCTCCTTGGACTCAGAATTCCGTTCCTAGTGAATCATCCACACTGGTTCTGCCTGGCGGCCTAGTTCCTCAAGCTCCAGCTTCGTGGTGCGCCCCGCCGCCCCCTCCGTGGTCTACGCCCTGCTGCCTGCAACCACGGTGGCCTCGGAGTACGCGGCCAGGCACGTCGTAATGTCATGAAGGTCTTTAATGTTCTTGGTCCAATGATCTCAAGATCGCTTTGTTCTTCGACTAGCGGCAAAAAGCATGAATTGCAATGAATTGTTTGGTCATGGTGCAGTAATTGCAGCAATTTGAGAGGCATTGAGAGGCATGAAATGCAAGAAAAACAACTGATCAGAGCATCACCATTCCATCTCACAATAAGTTGCTCGGAAAAGTTTCTTTAGGCGCCAAATCTCTTATACATGCTTTGACCCGCAGCCAACGTACTTACAGTACGTGACCTTTTGTCCCTATGGTGTTTGTTTGTCCCTCTGCTCTCCAGATGGGGCAACGGTTGGGAAGCTCGTGAGGAAGCACCGGTGTGGCAACCTGAGGAGCTTGTTCCGTCCGTGATTGGTCACGCCACCGGGCTGTCCGCGCCCGTCGTTTCGTCAGGAGGGCGCCCAGATGTCGCGCCTAGCGGTCGTCGCCCGGCGCGTGCTGCCCCGGGAGTTGGTGGGCGTTCCACCAAAGGGATCTTCGGAGGCCATGGGAAAGCTTGGAACCTTGAAGTCCAAGTTTGCAAAAGGGCATTGCCCTGGAGTTGTAGGGCAAAAAGGCCAGCTTTGCAGCAAGAGCCCAATGTGCAATTTGAGCCAAAATGGCTACGGTGCCCACACATGTGCATCTGTCTTGGCCTAGCTGATGAGGTGGAGGACTTCCTATATAAAAAAAAAAAAAGTACATACACATCATGTATATACGCATTTGTGTTGCGTCAGTGCAAGAGTTGAAGCTGTTGCTGAAGAGCTGTGAAAAATGATGGAAAACATATATCATTTGTATAGGGGTTTGCAGATGTTTGTTTAGGGCCAGGGCTGATGTGTCTTTGCATTTTTGCTCACGGTGTTGGAGGTTCTTATCTCATTAAGATTATGATTTCTTTGACAGCTGCCATTTCCGCTGGGAAGCAGCAGGAAGCTCGCGAAGCACTCATCGACTGCTTCGGAGGGATTCAACCAGCCGCAGGTCTTGGCAGTGGTCGTGAAGGTGGATGTGGAAGCCTTTGATGCCTCGGTGGAGTGCAACAATGGCTTGGAATTCTCCAGGAGTCAGGCAGGGCACACTCTAATTACGCTGCACCAATTCGGAAACCCGCCGCAAGACTAGAAGCTATCCATTCTTTGCTTGCAATTGATCGAACCGTTTGCACCAAAAGACCATAAGGCACACACCGTACACTCCCTTTTTTGTAAAGCACGCACACCATGGGGCGTCCTTGGTGTTGAGGTGAAAGAGACCGGCTTGGCCTGGACGGACCGTCAGAATCGCTTGGCTTGGATCCCTGAGTGCATGAAGGGTGGCCTCCATTTCAGAGGGCCTCATGAGCTTCACACTCGGAGACTCGACTTCAATGTTTGGGGAGCTTGGCTTGTTTGCCCTGGGATGGTCACACAAGGACGGAAAATAAAACCTAGGGTCGCTGTGACATGCTATGACAGGAAATCATGCAGCAGCTGCGCAGTAGGCGAATAACCTGCAATTGGGTCACTCCACAAGACGTTCTTACGATCCACCTTGTACGGCTGTGGCATGCAAAGCGCAAGTGTGTTTGGTGAGGCAATTGCCGACCCGTAGATTGATGGATTAGCAAGCCTTGCAACTGTGTATCAATCAGGTTCTAGCTTATAAGTCTATTGTATCGAAGCCACTTGGAACGAGCAGAACCCGGAAGAACTTTAGATTACTGTACACTGTACACTACCTGAAAAAGTGCCAGATGATGGGCCAGACGTTTTGTTCTTTTTAATGAGCTGCCCCACATCTCCCAACCTAGAAAAAGATGGTCACGGCATTGTTACTGATTATCACCACCTTGAGATTTGTGCATATGTTTCCCTTTGCAGCGTTTTTGGCGATCTGTCAATCAACCAGGCCCGGGTTGCAGCTGCGCATCCGAGCCACCTCGGCCTGCCGGGTCTTTGTGATGATCGAGGCCAGCTACGAGGAGCACCCCGCGCGCAGCGGCCGAGGCCGGGGTGGTGTGGAGCAGTGGATCTTGGGGCCCTCGATGTAAAGCAGAGAGTAGCTAAAAGGCTAATTGCGTTGAAATGAAATATGCTTTGAACAGTTTGGTGGATGTGTCCCAGGATGGTGCATATACAATAAGCAACCACCGAGGCTAGGGACTCAATTAGAGAAAACAGATTGCAATGTGCAGCGTCCTCTTGCAGGTTTGCCCCAGCTCTTGCTGCAGAACGGCTGGTTTGTGGAGACGGCTCCACCGCCTGCCTGGCAAGATTCGGCCTCAAAGCTGAAGCTGCTGAGCAAGCGTCACTTGGATCCGGGATGCATCCATTCAGACCCTTTTGATACATCAGTTGGTCGCTAATTTGAAAGCAACATCCTGAACTGCCATGTTGAAAGGCGAACTTTCACTATATTATTACACAACTAACTATACCATTCTAACCAACATCATGCAAGTCCATGTGTGTACCTGAGGCTGCCCAGAGGGTGCCTTGGCATCAGGGAGAGGGGCTTTGTCGGGCGTGCAACGGGGTGAATCACCCGGTTCAAGCTTTCAAAAGTTGAATAATGTTTCAGAAAGTGCATGTTGCGGTGCTGCAGCAGCTTTCCCGTGAGCGATTCTGGGTTGGTGACTCATAGTAAGTCTGAGTCCAAGCTGGGTGGAAAAGCGCCGGGCACTCGTAACCCTTTGGATGGAGTCAAGGAGAAGAGCTGCTGATGCCTTTGTGTGGTGAGGACCACAGATTTGGGATCGAAGTGGAGAACATGCATGGACAGTTGGCTTCTTGATGTTCTGAGTGTGACATTGGCAAGCAGTGGATGAGTTTGGACTGTTTGCTGCAATTGCCTCCTCACGATTGCTCTCCTTCACTGTTCTGATAGGAAAGGTGAGGTTGGTTGGTGATTTGCTGCATTCTGATTCTTCCGGATGCCAGTTTCGTTCTGTGGCCAGCTTCTCACAGGAGCCAGATCCACGAACAGAGGCGCCCGTTCTTTTCATGGTCATGGTTGCAGCTGGTCAGCATCAGAACTTGGATCGAGGCAGTCAGTACAACATACATGCGGATGACTACTGTATGTAAAACGATCATGCACCTTGGACTGTCAGACCCAACAGCACATAACCCGCTGTCGGATAGCCTGGCAGTTCTTGAGACCTTCCAAGGCTGGGTTCCTGCGTGCTAGATAATCGGACAACCCATGCCCAAACACCTACAGAATCCTACAGGTATGCATCCGCCCACCTTCATGATTTGAGGTGGGCCTGGGTCCTGAACGACTTGGAGAGGCCTGTCCCGCTGCACATGTCATGTTTCATCGTGGAAAGATCGTGTTTGGAATGTAGGACTGAAGTCCTACTTCTTGCATCTTCTTGCATCCATCATATTGCACAATGGCAGCAAGAGGCAAACCGCACAAGAAGCACAGACAGAGAGAGAGAGAGAGAGGAAGAAGACCTCCCTGTCCGCACACCGTCCAGGAGCTGCGTCGCTGCTTCGGTGCCTGGGACACCGAGCAGCTCCAGGGCTTCAGCCGTGAGCAGCTGGCGGAGCTGCTGCGGCGCTTGTGTCCCGAGCTGGACGAGGCCAAGCGGAAGATGGCGCTCCGCCCGCAACGGGTCAGACCCGCTGCGGGTGAACCCAGAGTAGGTGGTGAACCCGCAGTGGGGCGAAGGGATGATGAATGGACGATGGTGTCGCGGGAAAGGGTCGGTGAACAAGTCAGGTGATGTGGGGGGAGGTGGATTGCGCTGAGGTTCCAATCAGTGGTCCATGGTGGTCCTTTGAGTGTCTAACTCGTGCGAAGTAAGTCAGGGTGCCCCAAGCCCAAGAATGTTGTTCGATGAGAAATCATTTGAGCGGCAGCACTCAATTAGTAGCCATGTCACAGTTCTCAGTTCATGATTTCAGTTTCAAGTGCAGGTTTGTTTCATCCGGGCTTGGGAAATCTCTATCGGCATAGTGGTCAAGTACTTCCCCAAGTTGGTTTGGCCAAGGCGTTCTTTTCCTCCCAGGTGCTCAAGCACGCCTTCACCACGCCCAAAGGGGAGATGCGGAAGGTGATGCCTTACGAGGTGCCATGGCTGCGGTTCAGTTGGTGTGGGAAAGCCTCAACTATATATGTCCAACAGGAAAGGTTCGGCACAATGTCCAGGGTCACTTTTCGAGTGCGAGAGCAACCGGCAACTGCTTCGAACGTTTGGCTTTGATGCTCCAACGGCAAGGGATTCTCGTTGCTTTTTGTACCTGGCTCGCCTGTCTTTGTCTGAGGAGTTCGTAGAGCTCCTTGTTTGCATTGCTTTTGGGAGGAGGGAGCATGATTGTTTCGCCCTCACTGGGGCAACAGCTGTTCAGAGCCTCAGGGGCCCCTTCCATTAGGAAAACTATAAAACAGTTGCGAGCTTAAGTCTAGGCTGGCAAATTGTTTGTTATACCCCAGAGCGAAGATGATCAAAATATCAATGATAAACGAAGCTTACTGTATATATATAAAGTCTTGTCTTGAAGATTCCCTAGGGTGGCCAGCCCTTAGGAAGCTTTTGCGGTTCGCAGCCGTGGGAGAGCGCCAGTGAGCGCCAGTGCATTGGAAATTGGGCCAGGAGAGTTCGGTGGAATCCGCTGAAGCACATTTGTGATTCTACTTAGCAGGCTCACGACCAAGAAGCTATTAGGGGCTCCTGGCCATACTACTAGGAGCAGGGACGCTACTAGGCGCTCCTGGCCGTACTACTAGGAGCAAGAACGCTACTATTAGGGGCTCCTACCCTGGCATGTTGATTTAAGATATTTAAGATGATTAATGCTTTGGTGCCGATCAGCGGTCCGAATTCGGAGGGCTCCAGACTCGCTTGCTGACTGAAAAGATCTGAAAAGTATGTTGATTATTGTTGATTGACATCCAAACCACTGAGGCACCAGAAGGAAAGATTACCAAACACATCCAAACACCAACAAACAGCCCAGCAAACTGGCGGGCGTCAGCTAGCTCCTTTGGCGCTTGGCCTGCAAAGAGTGCAGGCCAAGTGGCAGGCCTCAGGCGAAAAAGGCGGCGAGACAAGAATCAAGGGCTTTCCGCAACACGCACATGAACCCCACTAGGCTACAAAGTCACAAAGCAGTCTCCTTTGTCTTTTGGCTTCACTTGATAGTAGGCTTTGTGGCGCCCGTCTTCCATCCTCCGGGGGCTTGGAAACTCGTTTGCTCCAGGCTTGCTACAAATATGCTGCGATTGGAGGCCACTTGTTGGTCGGATCTTCTCGAAGCACGTTTTGCCCCTCAAAGAGCACATGTGAGGTGATTGTCCAGAATCATGATATATTTGCATATATTAGCTGACTATTGCTCATAGCTATCAGCCACAATCAAGGGTACGTTTTCTGAAGCAGAGCCATTGCTTGTGGTGCAGGGCAGCTCGAAAGATGAGAAGGCACTCCAACGTGAATATTTCAACCTTGGCCTGGCTGCCTCAGTGCTGGTGAATTGAATGGAGGTAACAAATCAGATTTTGTTTGAATTCTTTTGTTAGCCCTCATCCTGATGACCCACAGTTCCATACTGGGACTGTTAACATTCTCCATTTGCCACGCAGTCATTGACAGGGCTCGTTCATAGCCATCAGTTCCTAAGGCCTACCAAAAGCTGCAATGCACAAGACTCCATCGCCTCAGGCGGGATCGGGAATTGACCAACTCATCGACCAGATCGAAGAAGCCTACTCCTATGAACTAGTTACACATGCTGCTTAGGTTTTTGATGGGTTTTGGCTAGAGGGTCCAAATCGTCTTTGCCTGCATTTATGGGAATCTGACAGCCTTGGAATGTCATGAGATGCCCCGTGCGTTCTACGAGTTGGTCGACTTTGCAGAGAGAGGAAGGACCCCCACCAATGTATACCAATGTTGCTTTTTTCAGAAACCAATGCCCGGAAGGAAATTCTTCGGCAGCTGAGGAGCGTGGCTTGCCCCTCAGAACTTGCAAAGAGTTAATCACTCATGAGAGGAGATTCTTGCAGATTTTAAATTTCCGGGGACACTGTCGAGGCGCTGTGGCGTGAACTACCCCTCCATGAGCTGCGAAAAGAGTGTCAGGCGCGTGAAGTCACAAAAGCGTCCCTGAAAAATTGCAGGAGGCAGTTTGTTAATCTCCTGGAGAGGGCGATGGAGAGAGAGAGAGAGAGAGAGCGTTTGTTGATCAAGTCCTGGCTTGGCTTCCCTACATGACTCTTTTGCTTCAAAGAGAAGTCATTTCTCCAAGGTCACTGAACTGACTGAGTTTGTTCAGCTGAAACTCAGCCGACCCACCGACCTGCCAACAATGGTCTTGGAAGATCGCAGGATCAGGGCGTCTCGGTGGGTGGCTTGGCAGGCCTGGAAGTGTCGCCGAGGGGCCGGTTGCACATGTTGGCATGTGTGTGTCAGGCTTGAGAAGGAAAATGTCGGCTTATCCTTGGATACCTCCCATAGGCTTTTGTGGTTTTGTGCAAAACGTCAGGCACAGAAGATGCCCAGTGCAAGCAGCTCCAGGAGCGTTTGATCATGGCACGGCAACCCAATGGCATGTTGAGGACCAATAAAAACAAGACAGGACACCCTGCAGAATCACGGAAGTCTTATGCAAGGTCGGTTTAATTGGAAAGCTTGCTTGCTGCGGGAAAGAAGGGCCTTTCACATCACCAGTGGTCATGTGTGTCACGGTGGCCTTTGACATACTATCAAACGCCAAACAGTTCACTTTCAACCGAGGTCAATTGTGCAGATGCCTGGTCCTCCCTTCAGCTTCCATTGAAGCGGCACGGGAGTCACAGTGGGTGGGTGCAAGCAGCGTCCGATCGCTCCTAGTAGCGATGCCAGGAGCCCCTAGTGGCGTCCTTGCTCCGCTCCCGCTACAGCTCAGCTTGTCAGGTGGTAAGGGCAAACGTACGTTCAGTCGTGAAATCTGAGGCTGCCGACTGTTGAATCTGCCAGCCAACTGGTTGGGATCCCAAGCTTTGAGCGCTTCTTGTGCCAGAGCCGTGCCTAGAGGTCGCACAACTCATCCATGGAATCGGCATACTAAATGCCTCACCTGGTGTCAATATTTACGTGCGTGTTTATGTCTTAACCATGCACACCATGATATGAATGTGATACGAACATGACTGGTGTGAAGAGGATCCCAAATCCTCGCCATCGGTCACCTGATCTCTTTCTGTCGAATCGCTTGACCCCAGGCCGCGGAGTATCTCCGGCTGCAAGGGTCCAATGATGCAAGCTTGATGGAGGAGTACAAGTCCTTGCAAGTCCCACAGGCATTCGGGAGACACTTTCTTGGGATTCTTGTGCAGCTTTGACCGAAACTAGATGCATTTATAGGTTTTTAATGAATTTTATGGATATATAATTATATATATATATATATATTGAATATGTAAGTACAGTATATAGTGGAACGAGGTGAAGTTTGATGCAAAGAACATTCAAAATTACGATCCGCCCATTCTGGCGGTGCAGGTGGACTCCTTAAAGCGTCGGGAGTTGCTGTCACGACTTCAGCGGGTGGCCATGTGGCGGGCTTGGGCGCCCAAGGCATTTTCGGATTCGGCACATGTCACCCGAACCGTTGGTCCATGTCCTGGAGAGCGTGCTTCTCCGGGGCGTGCCGATACCTACCGGTCGAGTTGGCGACCGGTGGGTCGGTGCGTCGGTGGGGGTGACGCATCAAGCGTCATAGGAGCTGTCGAGGGTTAGCAGGAAAGCTGAGAGCAAACCCTCAAGTTGCCCAATACCTCGTATGTCGGCGATGTTTTGCCACTCTGTGAGAAAGAAACACGCTTTTTGACACGCCGCCACTCAACACACCATCCTCCTCCGGTTGCAGTGATGTGACCGGGCTTTCCTTTTGCCCAAAACAGCATGTTTTCCACATTGTTTCACACTTGGGCCTTCCTGCTGTGAGGTCCTACCTTTGCACGAGCTGAGAAAGGACTGCCAGGAGACCGTCCCCTGAGGTCCCATGAAGTCCCCTGCACCCGTTCGGCACACCCGTTCGGCACCGAGAGGGCTCGGCGCCGACTTCAGTGGCCAGGAGCTGCGAGTCTCCACCACCTCGGAAGACCGGGAGGAACTGCTGACGCGGCTGCTCGCGGTGGTGGGAGCCCGAGACAAAGACAAAGAAAGAGAAGGGAGAAAGAGAGGGAGGGAGGGAGATTCCAGCATTTAGAATTCCCGTACCAGCAGCCACGAGGGATTTGCCTTTGACATCCTTTGAGATTGATTTGCTGTTACGATGGTATGACATGTTGTGACATGTTATGACGTTATGACATGGTATGACACTGATGCCATCCAACCAACATGTGAGACAAAGAGTCAGCCAACCAACACAGCTCAAACCTGTGGTATGTGCCTGAATCCGGGGTCATTCCACACTATTGACAAAAGATCGACTGTTGATCGGTGCTTTGCCCTAGGCATGGAGTCCAGCAGCTCAAGCGCCGCCCAAGAAGGACCGTTTGAGCTGATTGCCATGGCCCCATGTATCCTATGGCCCTAGGGCCTAGGGCTGGAATGAAACTCGTGGTGATGCAAAGTAGCAGAGAAACCCCGAACCCCTACAGCTTTCTTGGTTTTCGGTTGTCGCTTTCGACGTTAGGCTTGAAGATTCAAGTGCACATGGGTCCGTTGCTTCCTGACAAGTGTCCCGGTAGACGTGTGAGTTCGTCCTCGATGCCCCATTCCTTTTGCTGCAGTCGGGCAGTTGAATAGACTGTATTCCACGTGGCATGTCGTGCTTCATTGAGGAGCAGCCACGTGGCCCGCGCCAGTTCTTCGAACGCAACAACTACTTCCCCAACAGCCATGGCTTTGGGCCAGATGCCTAGTATATAACAAACATAGGTTGATTGCAGACGTTCGGGTAGGATGCGGCATGAGTGAAGTCCTAGATTGAACATGATCAAAATCATAGGATTTAGACGTATATTGCAATATATTACAGAATTTGTCCATGTACAATAGGTGTTACGTCTGGGATGGGGGATTTCCACTGCTCGCGTATTTGATGTGCGGAGGACTGGTGACCCCTTCAGCTTTGCTGCACCGGTGCGCAGGGAGTAGCGCTGTCAAGAACAGTGTTATCTCCTGGATTTTGTCCAAAGCCAGCCCATTCAGAATGAGCTTTGTATCATGTTGTATCCATGATGTCTATTGATCGTTGCCAGCAGGGGCAACAGGCCTGTTGAGGGGTCCCGTCGCATTTTCAGACCTGACACCCAACGTTGTGCAAGATTGCGACATGGCCTTTTCATATCCTTTCATTCATATTGATGTCGATTCCTGCAGCATCGAGGCCACTCAGAATGACTCAGAAGCAATGTCAGGTAGGTTCATGTCGAGGCCACTCTCAGGTCTCTCATCTCTAGCAACCCCCAAATACACTCAAAAGCATGGAGATGAGCTCCAATCTGTGTTCCATTTATCTCAATTAAGAGGTGACTAGACATCTGAAAGCACCCTGCCCAGCGCCACGCCTCGCTCTGCAGAACCCACGCCAAGCGCTCACGAAGCACTTCCGGACGCTGAAGCTGCCAGATGCT